GCTCGCCTAATGCTTTGTACAAATATACAAATTTCCAAAGGTGAATCCAAATTTAACACGTTAAGTGTCATGACAGTCGCCAATGATCGGCACTGTGATACTACCGTGTGTCATTAAGTTTCACGCCGATTAATAAATTAGATAAGGATGTATTAAAATTCAAATTTGTCAGCATACATATGTAGTGCAATGATAAAACAAAGATTCACATTCTAACTCGTGTTTAATAATAAATTTGAGTACAATCAAAATCTTGATTATATTTGAATCTTAATTATACTCAGTATCAAACATGAGTTGAAGCATTAACTTTTGTCTTATTATCGCACTATGTCTATCGTGCTTCAGCTTTTTATAGCTCAATACTGATAAACTACGATAGCAATCGCAATTAAAATCATACGATCGATGAAATGGACGATACGAAAGACATGTCGCGTCCCGAATTACATTTATTCGCTTCATTATCTCTGATAATAATTTGATTATCAGACAACCATCAGTCAACGTAATCAGTGGAAATCAGCGCGCGGCAGTCAACGTGTTAATTTAATGCACGATCACATCGAAAAATTAGACACATCGAATTAATGAAATTTAACAAACGAAACGTTTGCACGTGAAAAGGGGAGGAAAAGGATGCCGACGCGAGAACCATCCTTCGTCGTTATCGACACCTCTCGGGTCGAGTCAGGTAAGCACTTTGTACCTTCGTTCGCGGCACCGAAAGAGTTAAACAATCGTCGACGACCGGAAGCGTCGACTTGACACGCGGCAAGAAACGTCGTCGAGGGGAGTGCGATATCAAACCGTCGTTTCCCGGAAGATCTTCACCGACGAGTCCGCGTGCTTGGTGTGCACGTATCTCGTGATCGTCGTCACGGCGTTGTTGTTATTGTTGTTAATGCCGTTGAATACGTCGCCGCTCCTCCTCAGCCCGGCCGCCGACGGCTCCGCCTGCGTGTCCCTCGCCGTGTCTGCGGCCAGGAACGACAATATCCCTCTGAGTGACAATCATCTCTCATCATGCATTGGCGGAAGAAAAAGAAAAAGAAAAACAAGAAGAACGAAAGGCACATCTAACTGAACACCGGGCAACTTCATGACACTAACACGACAGCTGACGGAGACGATTCGCCTCGATTTCCGCGATGCAAGATCCGGAGAATGCTCGGAGAACGATCTCCGTTCTTCGGCTTTGATTTTTTCGCGAAGCGTTGCACACGACGCGAGTCATTCTCGCTTCTGTCGAAAGGAACTCGTCAAGTTACACGTCGCCGTTTCATTTCCCAAGGGAAATAACATTTTCGCGTTTCGGTTTCCCGGACGATTCCCACTGTCGTCTCGCGCGCGCATCGCATATTATGTAAGTACAGTATGCGCGCGAGACGACACGATTTAATCTCTCCGGCGAGGTGTAACATCTCAAACAAAACAAATATCAGACACACACACACACATATACACACACACGTGTGCGGGTGATAGTCAGGTGCGCGGGGTACATTTTGGGTGTCAAGAACACAAATCATAAGCTACCAAAAACGCAACAGTGCGTACACGTGTTCGTTCTCTCCTACTACACTACCTCTCTCAAGTTACATCGAGTGTGCCGGGAGATCGGCGGCTAACAATGACACCTGCACACGAGACGCAGCAGCGCAGATCGCAGAGACTCGCAGAAATGCCTGTGTTTCATATTTACGATGCTTACCGTTCACTTCCCCGTGTAAAATCGCGTCTCGTCTTCGTCTTCCGCGATTGCGGTAAATTGCGACTGTATCGTTGCGCAAGAAGGCGGCACGATCGCGTCCAAGGGCAAATGATCGTGTGTACGTTACAAGAGAAATTAATTACAAGCATAAGTAATACGATGAAAGGCAAAAGTAGAATTTGGAGAGAAAGAGAGAGAGAGAGAGAGGAAAGCGGAAGGAAGAGAAATCGCTGAATATATCTTAAAAAGCTCTCAGTCGAAGCTCATGTATGTAGGATACATTAATGCAAACCAAAAAGTTCGTATAAACATAGTGCCTAAAACGCTTAGATAGCGATTTAAGGAGGTTGGACGAAACGACGAATTCGATAAAAATTCGATGAAACTTGCACTACGTATAATACAGTGAAATATTATCTAATTGTTCGTGCAACTAGAAAAAATCGACCATTCGAGAGCTGATATTTGCAGCTGAAGTTAACACCTTTTGTACGTGTTCCTTGAGATTATTCAGGTAACATTAAGACGTCTTAAGATGTCGTAAAGACGTCTTTTACACAATAAAACGTCTTCAAGACTTCTTTTAGACACGTCGTTTAGACATGTCGTTTAGCGTGCTATTTTTAATTTCTATTTTTAACATCTAAACTAAAAACTTGTAACATCTAAAATAAAAATCAGATTTTAATAAAAAAACTACTATATGTTTACCTCACCTTCGTTTCAAATTACCACTTATTGTTTAGGTAATGAAATAAATGTATAGAAACGTAATTTTGCTTGATAAATACTACATTTACGAGTGGCCCCCTTGATACGTCACTGAAAATACGGCACTGACGGCAACATCCTTATAAGGTCGTGTAAAAATTACGAGAATTTTTGTTATAACAGGCACTGATTTTAATACTCACTTTAATTGATCTTATAATAATAAGTACAGTTTATTGATACAAATGAATGTAGAATATGTCAATAAAAATAAAAAAAAAACTTTCCAGAAACATGATATCTAAAACGCTCAGAGACTGTATTCTATACACGTTCAACCGACAACACTGTCAGCTCGGTATGTATCGTTGCGTAGCTATTTTACGATATGATTATACCTGCGCAACGACACTTATCCAACTGACAGACGTCGGTAGGTGTGTATGGAATAGCAGCCTTGTTGTTGTTCTGCGGCAGGTCGTATCATGTCAGGCACCCAAGTAGTTCCATGTTTCCTGCACTGAGAAAAAAAAATACTAAAAAATTGATCCATGGGGTATAAAATTTATTTCACAGAAATGAAATTTATTTCTGTAAAGTAAGGCTTATTTCTGTAAAATAAACCTTATCCCTAATCCCACAAATAAATTTTTAAGTATTTTTTTCTTGTGTATTGATAAATTTCTGTCAATATTGTCGTTTATGCATAGAAAAAATTCTGGATTCCAGTAAATAATTATTCCAATGCTTCTTAGCAATTTTCACATGGATCAAGTAATATTTACTTAGTCCAAGTAAAATATTTTCTAAGTAAATTATCCAAGTAAAATTCACTTATTCAGAGTATCCGGCTGATCATTTATTTGAATCTAGCACATTTTTCTGTGTGCGAAGTACCATTTATTTAAGAATGGCGAACCGTTCTTCTGCAGAAATGTACATGACATGCACTTGATATATGACATAGAAGACTGCAATCGGGCTGAAGCCGCACGACTTTACGCGGCACGGTTTCCACATTGACGTTTGCCCAGTGAAAAAAAAAAGCATTCAAATCAATTCATTCTCGCTTGCAGGAAACTGCACGTTGAAACCGGCGTCTATTATAACACGAAAATTCTTCTCGTAATCTTTACACGGCGTAATCTTGACTCGTCAACTGAACGTTTCGGGCATTATATTTATATAAACTTCTTCTTTTGTATTGATGTATCCCTGTACGGCTACATATATAGCTAGTCCACCATTTCGGAAACACGCTGTATATATGTATAATTAAAAATTGAATTTCCGTAAGATCGTTATTCGTCGCGCACGTGTGCGAATACGGTGCTAATATCGTAAATGGCAAAGAGCGTCGGTGTGGATGAGCAGCGCGGGAGAAATAACGAGGAGAATAATATGTGGATTATTATATATCGTGTGTCTCAAGCCTCTCGGAGGCTTCCCTCGGAGATCTGCCATACTGCGCCCGAGAGCTTGAAAATCTGCGGCTGCGGATTATTGGAAGTGCGGAGCGACGGCAACGTGCGGAGCGTGAAATTAAATGAGAATACAAACACACACACACACATTGCGTGGAAGCGATAATCGATAAGTTACTCGTGGTAAAAAGGAAGTGCAGCAAAATCGCCATTCAGCAGCGGTGATACACCTGTGTGCAGGCGTATACGATGAATGTTTCAGCGCGTCTCGGGGAGAACACACGCGAGAAACTTCATATCGCACGCGGGCACGAATCTTTCCGAGAGAATCGAAATTTTAATTCTACTTTAAGTCTAGTTCTAACTCTACACTAAGTCGTCAAGCGAAGGAAAACGGCAGTAACTTCCCATCTGTAGCATCAAAGGAGCACAATAAAAGACCTTTGAATACTTGAAGCTATTAGATATTCGATCGTTCGGAGTGAGAGATGCCAACGAAAGCCTAACGTGAAGAATTAATCAGACTTGATGTAGAACTAAAATTTTGACTCTGTTTCGCAGATGGTATGTTCGTGCGTTTTTCACCGACTGACTCGCTCTCGCATCTTATTCACAGTGGTTCTAACATCGCGGACAGAGTTTTCGCGTACGGGAGATTTTATCTTAAAGTAGATGATTGTATTCCAGAGATGTGTATATTATATTTTACAAGAAAAAAATATATTAGAACTAAAAATAAACGTAATAACAAGGTAGATTGCACTGTGCGTTATTTTTTCAAAGAATTTCACGTGTTTTTTTTCAGAGCAATTTTCTTTTTTCGCCGTACAGTCGACGTCTGTATTATTTCTTAGGTTGAAACTTTTTGATATTACACAATTTTTAGCCTTTCACGTGTCAAGTCAGAACTATTATAATTAGAGCTATTATAGCTCAAATTACTTCTGCGATTTTCAACCGTATGCGTTGTACGACTGAAAGTCGCATAATTCTCTTGTCTAAAGAATGATACACAGCGTCCATAACGCCGACTATACAAGATAGATGAAGAGAATTTTTCGTTCTGTACAAGATTCGAAACGCGCTACGCAACGCAAATCCACAACGCAAGAAAGTGGTAACTGAAGGAAACAAAAATAAAGGAAGCAGCGTTCACGTGTATGAAAAATAAATTTATATTTACAAAATGAAGACACGTATAGAGGGTCTCGTCGATGATCTATTTACACACTGGTGTATCCCGACGACAGGGACACAATTCTAATTTAGCCTACACGATAGGAAAAGTAAAACAAATGCAGTACAACAGCGACGGAATCCGCGGGCGCTCCCTCTGTAAGCACGCGCGCGCGCGCGGATTCATTCTTTTTAAAACTAATATGGCAAATGGGAATCTAACGACACATTTCTCGACGATTGTATTTGCAAAACAGATTCCCCGGTTCAATTCGGGATTGTTTCAGCGAACGGAGAGAAAGAGAGAGAAAGAATTATATAGGAAAAGAGATATGATATTAAGTCACAATTTCTGTGACATTACTCCACGTTTCGCGTGTCTTATGGCAAGAACAGAATGAAATTGATCGACCAGACTTTATTTTATTTTCATTATTTTAGTTCCAATAAAAGTATCATATTCTCGTTATTAAAGAATAATTTTTATGAATTGAAAGGAAAAAAATATTGGAGAGAGAAAAAAGTGCCACGCGCGTGAGTAAGTCATTTCAGGTTTAAAGAGGAAATAACAAAACGGACCGCAGTTCTTACTTCGATATAAACTAATAAAGATGTCAAAATAATAAAAATCCCATGGGATCGTTCGCCGCGTGCCAAGTCAGTTTTTCCTCCGCGAGATATTCTTTTTTATCTGCATTAATATTTTTCACTGTGTGTACGAAAATATTATTTTTCTTTCCGCCCGGAAGAAAAATCGCGTGAGACGGATGGTATGGATACAGAATTGCGAATCACGATGCACGCGTGGAGTAATGTACATTAATTACATGTAAGCTGAAACCTCCGTGCGCGTTCCGCACACGTCGAGGAACTCTCTCGGCGAATTCTCTTTACGTCCCATTCGCGCGATACGATCCACGACTTTCCGTGCGCACTCCTGGATATCGACATAAGTAATGGCATTCGTTTTTTCGTTCGTTCGTTCGCGCACAGCACAATACACCGAAAGAATCGAAGTGAACGCTCACCTACGCATTCCCGCGCGACCACCGACCGACCGCCACGTCCGTTACATAAATTAATTATCTTCTGGTTTAAACGCTACGACGACGAATCTAACTTTGGCAGTAGAGTCCACTCAGAATGCGCGCGTAAGGAAATCCAACGAATAGATCTCTTCTTGGCAAGGGCGCAGTACGTATGACGACGTAATACGTTCGTGTAACGTGTTCTAGAGAAAAAAAAAGAAAGAAAAAAGAGGAAAAATAGAAAAACCAAGATACTCGAATTCTTGACGACATCACCAGATCCCTCGACTACGTCGAAGGGGCCGAAGGTGACGTACAAGAGTACGAAACGTCAAAACGCCAGGCATTACAATGACAATACTTATTCAATCGCGAGAGAACAGCGACTCGTAATAAATAAAATATTCATGTATACATGTACACAGTGAGAGGAAAATATCTAAAAATAACAAATATTTATTCGGTGAGTATTAACAACGCATTTGCTTGTATATCGAGATGCACACTTTAACAGTGAGAAAAACTTTTTCCCAAATAAGAAAATATATCTTTTTCTTATAAATGCCGTAGCCTTTCATGAAAGCAATGATTTATTCCACTTAAATTCTATTTAAACGGAAGAATTTAGAGATTTTAATAAATACGTTATTATATAGGGGGATATTCAGACCGAATAAAAAAAATTTTTTTTTTACGTTTTTCTCTCTGTGTATACATGTGCGTATGTGTGTTATCTAATAGCGAATTCGGCGGACGTGCACCGAGAGATTCTGCCCCGATATATTGTGCGAGTGCAGTGTCATCGCCGAATAAAATCCGGGCGGATGTAACTTACTCTGGCGGCTGCGTTAAATTAGCGCAGCACGGGGACAAAACACGGCACTACGCAACCCGTTCACAGGGCAGAATGGAACAATTAAAGAGATTCCGGCATAATTTGAGAAGCCAGATGAGCTCAAGTTTTTTTTTCACCGAGGGCATCAACCCTCGATGTGCGGCTCCGGAGAAGTTGGCGCTCAGCGCAAGCCGCCGGATCCGCTATCGGAGTGTAAGATCAAATTCGCAACAGTATATGCGTGTGTGCACTACTATGCGACCTAGGAGGATATTAAACTCAAGGACAAGAACACTGCGAGGTAAAAATTTCCTTGAAATAAAAACAAGAGCAAAAGAATACACACACACACACATACACACACGGCGAGTCGGCGGATTGTGAAGATTGTAACATTTTTTCCCCGAAGAGTTTTCCGCATCTCGTATCCAACGAGAAAATGTATTTCTCGAGAATTTCTAAAAAATTTCTCTAATTGTATGCGTTGGGAAATTCATCGAGAACAAATTGCTGCGATCTTTAATTCGCCAAATGTGTGTGTGTGTGTGTGTGTGTGTGTGTGTGGTCAGTCACATAGGGCTGCAAAACTTCTTTCCAACGAGTTTCGCAACGCATCTTGTATCCAATAAAGGAAACGTATCTCCCGAGAGTTACCGAGAAAAAAAATTCTCCTATTGGACACGGGATGCGTTCCGAAATGTATAAAAAAAAAATGTTGCAACTTTTTTGCGACAGACCATACTTAAAACCGTGCGTGTATATCAAGGTACCGGAAAAGGAGGATGTTGTGGGCGACGCGCGGCCCGGTTTCCACGGTAAAGTAGCGTAATAGGATTAACATACAGCACTGCGTTCGTGAAAGTGCATCGCGTGTATACTGGTAACAATCGTTTATCAGTCTGTACGTATTACTTTCCGACACTGTACGACACAAACAGCGGCGTGAAGAACTACAACACACTCGCTAACTACTGCTACCAACATCGTCTAAAAATCCACACACTACGTACTAAAAAACAACACAAACGTCCCACCACGTCCCACCAAGTAACGTGACGAAATTATACTGCCTATAAATTGTACACGACAGAGGGCGGGGGCGGAGGGGGGAGGAAAGAATCGCAAAGGAATTATCCGGTTATCACACTCAGGAGGGGCTAATTCCTCGGGGGAGGTTCGCTCGGAGCACGTTAGAGTACCATGCGCATGCAGAGAGGATCACTTCACACCGCTACTCTCCCGAGGACATGCAGAACGCGGCTGGTTCCGGCGAGAGACCGTCTCTGTGACGGAAATTGTATTCTTCTCAGGTCGCGAGCGGTCACGGCCGCCGTGTCGCTTCGGAAGCGCGAATCCGCGGCGAATAATTCTCGGCAATAAATACACGTAGTGTCGGCTCGTTCTCGCGACGGACGCGCACGGTTTCGACGGTCGGTTCCACGATCACTCGCGTACAGCGCGTGACGGCGACTCACAAATCACTCATCGTCGAGCGCATCGTGTAGAAATACAATAACGATATACACGCACACCGTTCGGAAATAAATTATTATAGTCTTACGCTAAGCACGCACACATACACACGCACACGTAGAGTTAAAAAGACTGCGGAGGACGCTATCGAGAGAATAGCACGGAGGGAGTGAGGTCTATCCGGGAGAAGTCGAAGGAATACTCCATGTAAGTAGGAAACAGAAACGAGGAGAGAATAACCAGAGGCCCGACACGGGCGGCGACGCACAGTGGACACAAGATAAAGATTTCTCGGCCGAAACTCATTTTACAAGTCTCACTTCAAGTCGATGTAAATGTAGTTTCATATCTTATCTCCTTTATACAAATATTTTTCTTCCGTGTGTATATATATAAAATTGTTATCAAAACTCCGAGTTTCGAGCGGAAAACTTTTACTTTCAAGCCAGTGTGCGGCGGCGGCGTGTCGCGCCATAAATAAACGAGGAACTGTGATTGCACGGACTCTATAATACAGCGGCGGAGTTCTTCAGGATACGACACAACAACACTTCCTACACCTGGTCCGCCTGCCTATTATGTTGCTCTTGTATCGCTCGGTGACTTTGTAAGCCTTCAACTTCAGTCTGACACTTCCCGCGTGGTCACTGATATCCTGACTGTGCGCGGAATTGCTTCTCGTCGTGTTGTTCGACGACGCGCACATCTTTTGCCTGCTCTCGCAGCTTACGATCTCCGCGTCGTGACTTACCGCATGATCCGCGTCTAGCTTGATCGCACTGACGTCGCGGTCCCGGAGAAGCTGTCCGGTCTCCGCGCCGTCGACGACGAGCTTCGCATCGACTCGACTCCCCACGTCGTCAGATTCGTGATCCGCGCGCAACCTCCCCAACGACTGAGAACGACGCTCCCGACGTTCGTCCTTATCCCGCGACTCGCCGTCATTTCGAACCTGAGCCTTGGTCTCCTTGCACATGTCGCACTCGTTCTCGATGAATTTCCCGCTGTTCTCCTCCAAGTACCGCTTCGAATCGTCCAGCTGGGCCTTCGTCTCCGCCACCAGCTCCGTGCTCGAATCCAGCCTGTTGCTGCTGCCTTCGTCCGTCTTATCGCAGGACTTGTTCGAGCTGGCGCCCTCGCCGCTCAGCGTCTTCGTGCGACCGTCCGAATACGCGCTCAGCTTGTTCTCCGAGTAGTTGCTCAGCCGGTCGTCGTGGAAGTACACGGAGCTCTCGTTCGACTCGAAGTTGCTCGCGTTTATTATGGCTATCCGCGGTATGACGAGATCGGGTGGCAAGCCGTCGACCGTCATATCCGGCGGGCTCGAGTTCGAGGAGGAGCGATTGGCGAAGTTGCTGAAAGAACGGTAGCCATGCTGGCCTTTGCCGCGGATCCAGGCCTCGGTGAGGACGTGCGACCGCTGCCACGACACGTCGCTGTTGCACCGGTTCTTCCGCACGCACCACTGCCGGTCTTCACCGTCCGGCAGGGTACGCAGATGGCACTCGCTGGGACTCCTCTTGATGTCCGCAGCGTCCACTTCCGCGTCCTCTTGCTTCTTGTTCTGCACGATCAGCTCCAAGCGGGACTTGAGCAAAGCCGGCGAGACCGCGCGGTCGATCCGCCTCGACGTATCGATCGACGCCTGCGTCGATCGCTGCGCGGACGACGACGCGTTGTCACCGGCGAAGACGTCTAAATCCGGCACCTCGCCGGTGGCGATCAGCGCGTTCGGACTCGGACTGTCCATACTATCTGGTGTATAGGGATCATGCTTAATGGGTGCTGCGTGCAACAGATTAGACGAACGATCAACATAATCCGCTCGCGCGTTAGCGTAACTACGGCAGTCAGGCAACATCGACAACAACTCCGAGTAATTGTTGGGCACTCGGAAGCAAAACTCGGGTGCAAGTGGCAGCAAGCTGCAGCAGTCTATCATACCTGCGTCCGAGATGAGATTAGCCCTCAAGTAGACTGGCTGTAAATGGGAAAAAAAGAGTAACGGACTTTTATGTATCGTCGTGCGTATGCGACTGCAGAGTTAGACGATAAGGCGGCATGAGGGGGCGCGCATATTATGGGATATTCTATGAGGATTCTCAAGCTAAAAACGTTTCTCTCTCGTTCTAAGAAACAACGACATTACCACAGTAATGTACTTTTCAATCTCCCGAGCCTGCTCCCGTTCCGGCAGGCCGCGACTGAGCATATTTCTGAAAACTTAGGACGACGCTTTGTGTATTATTGTAGTTATGGTGACAATGCTGACTCAGTTGCACTCCGAATCGTTCCTTCGTACGTGTGTAAAAGTTGATGTTTTTTTTTTCTTTTGGTAACATGTATGAAAGCATAGTTTTTTTTATTATTTCGATGTTCGTACATGCAATCGTGAGTTTAGAAAATATTGTGGTTTATCAGAGATACTGATATTTGTCGTTTCATAGCGTTTCTTTAAAGTGAATTTTGAAGGAAACAGAATTTCCTTGCACGATTCATTCAGCACTTTTGTACAATGGTATTGCGAATCGATGAGTATATATGATCGTAATAAAATCGAGTGAGATTCTTATATTGCATATAATTTAGTAAAATATATCGAGCATTACGTAACGCGAGATTGTACGAAAGTGTCAAAATGCGTGTCCGCAATTAGATTGGAAAAGTACAATTATTCCATGATAACAATGAAAGTGACGCTGACGAGAGAATTATGAGGCTCAAAGTCATGTATAAGTAATTTACTTCGGGATACTACGTGGAGGTGCTCTACATTAACAAGCCCCTATGTGTTTCTCGCCGAGATAACAGAAAATCCAACGGAAGAAAGAGACGTGAGCAAGATGTGAGGAGAAATTTGAGATAAGAAGAGAGAGACAGACAGTTCATAGATAGGTACCTTAGTGCTTAGAGATTCATTCGAAACTCCAGAAAAACAGGCTGCATCATAATAATCGAAAGAATGTATCATCAGAGTAAGAACTAAGTGTAGTAAGTACATGTTCCCAGCATAATAGTAGTAAAAACATGTCGCAGTATCGTTTTATAAATGTAAGGAAAGTTTCACGGCCGTTGTCTTACCTTGTGATCACCCATGCACGTAGTCGGGCCGATAATACCGTATTCCACCGCGTCAGTATCATTTATCTGCACAAGGAAACACGAGTGTGACACTTTGAACTCGTGAAATTTCACCTTTTAGATATCCCGGCATCGATCGCAAGTATAATTTTTACGGGAATACCGTACATCTTGGACTAGCGTTTTCGCAGTGGGGCTCAATAAGACTCGATCACACCAAGCTGGCACCCTCGTTTGCATGTAATTCACCGGCTCGTTCACGTCTTCTTGAAACGGGTAACTTGGCACGAAGCTGATTGGAAATTCGAACAATCTCCCGTCAAAGTCTCCCAGCTCTTTGTCGTACTCGCGTAACTGCAGAAACATTAACGAATTTTACGATCTGTCTATGGGACGGAAATATCGCATTGATACGATGAGACATGACGCGAATAACTCACCCATTCGCCGCTATTTTTCATGAAGACGTTCTGATGTTCATAGTGTGAAAATTCTTTCTTCCCTAACGTTAATATTAGATCATCATCTCTGTTATGAAACTGAAGCTTTGAAATATTCCCCTTATTCGATAACCTCCTTTCTCGAGTATCTTCTGTTAGTTTCTACGACAGACAAATTGAAATGTTACAACATATCGGATTTTAATATAACTGCTTCATTGTTGGATAATATATGTAAATCTGTAATATAACACCACTCATGTGGCGCTTCCGACGATAATACGCTAAATTACTTCGCGAAAGAAACGTAGAAACAAACAAACTCTATATAATAATCGTAATAATTAAAATCTTTATTTCTGTCGTCGAATCATGATTGCTGACGAGCCTCACCTTAATCACACTTGCCGTGTCCGTCCTAAAATTAAAGTCACCAAATAAAAAATATGGTGCATTTGGATATTTGTCATTATGGAATCTATCTAATGTATGCTCGAGCGCTCTTCTGCGCGTCTTACTGTATACCGACGGGAACTGTAAGGAAACCGCCAAATTAAAAAGATAAATCGACACGCTGATATGCAAATCGATACTTGCAAAAGTTGTCTTACCGTCTCCATAGCAATAAAATTGCTCGCGTCATGAAATAAGTGTATGTTTATGAGATCAAAAACTGTTCCACTAATACTCCATCGCGTTCGCAGGAAGCCTTTTCTGGACCATTTGCACTCTGGGAAAAATTCTTGAGGAAACTTGGCCTTTTCTTTGGTTGTAACTGCTTCTATGTTGCCCGAATGGACTTCTTTCCCATTTACTGGTATAAAAGTGCATTCTAAAATCGTAAAAAGATAATTAGAAGAAGATATATTATACTGCTTATTGATATGATGATCGAGAGCAAAAACCGTACCGTTAAAATCCCATAATAAAACGTCACTCAAGGACTCATGCACGAAATAAAAGTTTCCTAAAGCCTGTAAAAAAATTTTTGATGAGGACGTCATTTTGATTCAAGGTTCAGAAATCTCAGGGAAGAAATATTCCGCAACTTACTGTGAAATGTTCGGCGGATGAATAGTCCTCGTCGAGAAATACTCTAATTTTGTCAAACAACCTTAATTCTTCCGACGACATGAGTAATCTGTAAACAATATTTATCCCCTTATCCACCCTGCCCTTGTCATAATATATTGAAAGTTACATATTAATATGTTAAAATCGTATATGTTAAAATCGCTTTATGTAACCTTTTACATAAAGTTCTATTATGGATACATTTTTCAAACACTTTGTTTTTTTTACACATATGTGCATGTATTTTACCCCTGTCAATATCATTCAATCAATTTATCTTTTGAAGTGACTCACTCAACTATACAGCCATGCGTTATCGTCTATTTATATCCCTTTCTGCCGGTTATGCGTTAAATCATATTCGATATCGCGAACGCGGAGAAAGTTGTTTTGATACAGTTTATGAAAGGTTTGTTTTTAACATCAATTCAGCGATAAGAGTCAAAAATTAAAACGTCATAGAGATGAAAGAGTTTTGTTTATCACATATTAACGATGACGCAGTAAAACAAAAATACAAAACAGCAATTCTTTCGAAAGAACTATCGTTATTCTTATTATATTTCTCCTTAATGTGATAAGATAGGAAACTTTGTACCAACTAAAATTAACTATAAATTTTCCTCAAATTCGTGTGATCAAATCCTTTCAGATAAAAAATATTAGATAAGAAATATTATTTTCTTGTTATAACATTACAAAATTTGTATATCCATAACTATTGAGACATTTGGTAGAAGCGAATGTTGCACAAGAACAAATTTATCAGACTCTCTCGTATTAATAATCCCATTAGAGTCAAATGTTATAGTTCATGGAAACCTTCCAAGAAACTTCACTAATTGGATCACAGCACCTTTGGGATTTACAAAGGTAATTTTTTGCTTTTTCGTAGCAACTTAGTTAATGCTTTATTAGAAATATAACAATAATAGACTCTTATTATTATCAGTCAACGACAATCTACCGCATCTATTAATGCCACTCGACGATATAACCGCGTACATATCGCGAAAGAAAAATAATTTATACACGCGTGTAAAACGTAGATGAAGATGCAATGGGGAAATTACCTAACAAAGTCTTCCACGTGCCTCATGCTCTGCTCGTAATTTTTCCCGCCTACTTCTTGGCAGTGCAGTGCTATGAATTTCGGATCCAGCCTCGATATGGTCTGAAATGGCGACAAACACACGGTCCGTAAACACATACGCGCGTTATTCCCGGTTGTACTTGAAGAGAGAGAGAGAGAGAGAGAGAGAGAGAAAGATAGAGAAAGAAAAAGAAGAAAAGAGCCAGCGCGAGGATATACTCACGGATAAAAATTCTTCCGTCCATATCTTTAGCATAACGCTAGGCTGCAAGGAAAATTACTAATATCAATCTCACGGTCCTTCATACTTCGTGCACTTTAAAGAAAAGCTTAATGAGATGTTCTCGACGGCGCGTGGATACGTATTAATAGATCGTTAACGTCACGCGCAAGGATATCGATATTGCGCGCGCGCGCGTCTAATACGCCCCGTGACAATAAAGCGCACCACTTCTTTCCTTCACATTTCACGTATGACAATCGATCACGGTAATGGTCGCGCGCGTGAATCCGGTATAAACAAAAATGCGTAGGCGCCTCGCGATAATACGCGTATATTGTTCGTGCGCGTCGTGGCCGCGCGCCGCCGGTCGTATGAAAGGAAATTAGTACCGGGATGGGAATACCGACGAATAAACGTCAATAAGTTTAACGTAAATGAGCGATATCGGGAGCACGCTTGTTTCCTCTCCTTTATTGTGCCCGAGCGATATCGGCCCGGAGATTCTCTCTCTCTGGGAGTTTTTCCATTGTATTATCATTACGTTCATTGCCGTTAAATACGATTGCAATTAAGGCCCCAACTTATCAATAAATCAGAATTTACCGTTGGTTTTTGGAGCGTGAAAATTCCCAAGAACGCGCAATGACGTGCCTCAAGGACTGGCGGATTAAGCTCGCAGCTTGATAATGGATTTCTAATAAAAATTTTCTTTTTATACGCAACCGGCGGGATATTTTATTTTGGTGACCATTAGGCGATCTTCTCCGTTTTTTCTTTTTCCCTGTATATTTTATTTTACTCTCAGCTTTCGTATTTATTATTATCGCAAGCGATTCGATTAAATACAGCGGATGTGAACTCGTCTTGAGAAATAACATCTGTCTGCAAACAGAGACAGCGTGAATAAACGAATAAATTAAGATGGGAAAGCGGAGTGTAGCTGAGATTTCGAATAATTTGACGCGGTTCTGTACATACAGGTATACAGGTTTACATGTAAAATATATTTTAGCGAACATTACACGCGTATCCTTCGATTGTTTCTTTTTCCGATCTTAGACTGAAGCAATTATAATTGTATAAATTATTGCCTATTTTTTATTTCTCTCGTTTTTCCTTCTTTACGTCCTTTGTCGCGTATTCATTTTCGCAAAGTACCTTTCATTTTAATCTTGAATGGTTCTCGAAAATGTCGATAATTTGGGAAGAAAAAACAAGGTGAAGTTTCGCTCAATTTCGGCATCGGACATTACGAAGTCGTAAATATACGTCTCTTTCGCAAGCTTCTTTTTAAATTAGATAATTCCGATAAATGACTCATCTCTCGCGGCATTGTGTTACGCGATCGTTAGTCTCACGCGAGGAATTATCGTAAATTTACATGCTCATCGTGACGTTTCCCGAACACGTGACAGGGCCGATAAGGAATAAGAGACAAAAAAACACAAAGATCTGATAATCGCTTGAAAGCGAATTCCGCTTCTACGTACGGTTCGTACTTGAAAGAACGTTCTTCGCGAGAATGCCAATCCATGAATAACAACGTCGATTTCTTCAACTTCGAAATGTCGAGAAATAACACGCCGCATTGCAGAAACGGACGAACGTAACTTTTCGATTAAGTAATGCGACGGGCATCCGTAGTTCTAGCGTGATGTTTTCGCAAGCGTGACATTGAACGTATCGGAAGCAACTATCATCGAAAACAACATTGAATACTCGGATACTGCCAAGTTCCGAAAATATCAGGACCGCGAAATCCTTCAAACCTGACAACGATCAAGATTCAGCTTGCAAAACTAATCGTCGCCGCATTATTCAACATTCGTGAATTGACGTTTCATCGAGTGACGTCAAAAATGAACATGCATATCCCAAAATACCTCGAAAACTGAATATCAGGACAATCTCCCGAAATACAGTTTTCTACGGTTTTAAAGTTTCGGAAAAAAACAGTTTTTCTCAATTTTCCGCGGATTTCTACGATTTTTATTCCAAGGATAAAAAAAGACGTTGAGAAGAATGCAAAAACGCGTGTCTCATTAAGACCTGCATTTACGTTTTTCCGTAAACAAGGTGAGAAGCCAGAAAGATCCGCGGGAAAATGAGGAAAAACGGTTTTCTCCCAAAACTTTTGACGACTTTCTTGAAATATCGCAAGCATGCAATTATCTCGAAATGTCACAATCTCGAAAACCGAATACTGAGACAATGTCCGGAAATATTGAAAGGGATCACAACTTCATCCTCTCTTCCGATATTTCGGTCCCGGTATTCAGTTTGCGGGATTGCGACTTCACGGAAACGTCGTCCTGCTTCTCGAATCTCGCTGCTTTTTTTCGGAAACATGCGTGTCCACCACCACGTCGGGCTTCGAATTTTCGAATCGAACCTTCGACCGCGACACGTGACATCTCTCTCGAACGAGGCACCGCGATACGTCCGTTCTTCGCGGCCACGTTCACGCTACGCGTACTCGCCGTGTCCGAAACAAACGCTTAAACCGGGCGTCGAAGGGACGAAGGGAGGGAGGGAGAGAGAGAAAGACAGAAAAGGCGATAATTTTGAAAGAAGCCGCGGAGGAGGTAAGCGGCTGCGCCCGGCTAAATAGAACGGACCTTCGAATGTCGCGGCGGGGCGACTTTCTCGCGACCGCGTCGACCTGCCGCGACGATCGAGAAGCGATTACTCGGCGCGCGTACGACGCACAGACATGTGTGTCACCGTCGTGTACACGCGAAATCCGCGCGGTACAACCTGTGCACACACGCGGCGATGTGTCCCGTGAGCAGGGCGACACAGGCGAGAGAGCGGCAAGTAGGTCGTGTCGCGGTGCAAACAATCGACGAGGACGATCGATCGGGCCGAGAGAGAGAGAGAGCACCTCCGGTACTCGCGCGAGTTCTTGCCGCGCACATACCTCCTCGAAGATACTGCCGACGTTCGCGGTGATGAGGAGAACCGGCACGCCTGCCATTCTCGCGTCCGGGCGGTCGATCGGGCGATGGAGCCGCTACTGCTGCTGCTGTCGGAACTGCGGCGGCGGCGGCTGCTATCAGGGCGCGATTATCGGCGCGCGCGCGTAATCGGTACGTCGTCGAGACGGCCAGCAGCACCACCACACGCACCGCACTGCTGACGACGACGGACGGGGCACTGGCGGCGGCCGCGCGACGACGATCGACGGCGACCGCGCGCGCGTCGTTCGCTCGCTCGCACGCACTCGCACACTACCGCCACGAGCGAGCGAGCGACTCTACCTTCTCGTCTATGCGCGGCTGTCTCGCTTTCTCTCCTCCCTCCCGCCGTCGCTCCGTCCTACTCTCTCTCCTTCTCACTCGCGTCCTCACTCGAGTCTCGCACCTTTCGGGGAAAGCAGCCGGAATGAACAGCGATGTTATCGCGCGACGATAACGACGACGATCGAAAGAGAGAGAGAGCGTGGTCAACCCCCGCGCCGGGGAGAAGTCGCGCACCGTGCGGCGATGCACCGCTCCCGTTCGACCTCGCTGCCACGCCGCGAGTAGTATGTACACATTGTCAATCGTCGGGTTACACGACGACGCGAGAAGGCGTGCGCGCGCGAGCGCCCGAGAGAAACCCGTTTCTCGCGTTGTGCGGTTGCTTCGCGTTTGCGTCGCGCACACGAGAGAGAGAAGAGTCGTGTGCGCGCGCGGTAAATATATCCCTCTATCGGCCGCGGCGAAGCCACGCCTACCGCGGACGTCAATAGGCAGTGCCGTGACTATCGCGAGCGGCGCCGTGACGAGACGCCGCGAAAGCGATCAGCTGATGATCGGGAGAGTTCGGTGACAATTGCGCTCTCTCGGATTATCAGCTGACCGCGGCTACGAGGAATACGGCATTAGCGAAGAGAGCGCGCGCGCGCGATCTCCACGCGGCCGAGGAGGCGCTCGATAATATTTGGATTACGACTGACGAACGGAGGAGGGCTCGATAACGCTCCATTGACAGCTGACGGATAAAAAATAGCCGGCGATATCGCGGTAATAATTCACGGGTAAGAACGACGCGTGTCTGCGTGCACGTCACCGGGGGGAATTTCGGGCCGTTGATCTGTGCCGTTGAACGTCGCACCTCCGTCGTCGAACGTCTCGCTTCACATTGATCGAATAGCTTGTTCAGAGAGAGAGAGACTAGGGTTTAAGAACTTCTTGGAAAATAAAGGACAACTGTGCGTGTATCAGCATGGCCGTGTATTGTTTACCGATACTCGTCGCGAGGTATCTATTGGTCCGTTTTTTATAGCTGAACTGGCGCAGCCAGTTCAAGAAATGTACGCATATTAAAGTGCGAGAATCTCGTACGTATACTTCATACGCTTCAATGTGTAAATTTCATTAACTGATGCAGCAAGTTTAGCTAAAAAAATTGGCAGAATATGAATGTTGTAGAGTATCAATTACTACTGTATGCTATCACAATGCCATTAAGCATTCCGAACATATATAAGTACAAAGAGACTCGAAACACGAAGAAACGCGAGAAGCGAGAGGAAACAGTTCTTCAGTACATTAAATGCGCATACGCGAATGTAAAAACTACATAAAAATTACTAAATAGTTGGCAGCCACGATACTGACACAAATATTCGACTCTGCTCTGCAGCTGTGTCGACTTGCATCGTATTGTCTCGTTGGACATTTATGCCGACACTGCCCAGATAGGACGTACGATGACGTCAAATGACGTCAGAATGATGACAGAATGAGATCGAAAAGTACATTTTCACAGTCATTTTCTCAGACGTCGTTTTTGACGTCATCGTAACGTATGTTTCACCTGGGTGTGTCGCACCGCGTTTCGCGGCTATGATATCGGCAAGCAGATATCAAAACCAATCGATACTTTACTGTATCGGAATACCGTGAGCCATTTGTGGCGTCGAACGGAGATCGGCGGCGCCGTCGTCGTGACCGGCACGTGTTCCCGATGTTCCGGAAAACTCGCCGATAACTCGAAAGCCGGCCCGGGGACGCGCACGATTGCCGCGCGGGAATTCACGGCTGGAATGTCAAATATCCGACACGCGCGCGTCAATGTCTCCATGATTTTCACCGTGGAACTTTGCCGCAGATCCCCCGTAGCGTCATCGGAGCCTATCGGTCCGCGTGCGTAACATGCGTTTAACGCGTCATCGATTATTACCACGCGCGAGTTCCTCAAGTGGAAGCCGTACCGACCGCACGCCGAAAAGACTCTTTTTCTTTGGAAAAGCTCCGCTGAAATTTTCCTAGAGGATCGTTTGAGATCGAGAGAGATTGGCAATAAAACAAGATTGATAACATCTCAAAGGCGTTTTACTCCAAACAGGATTTCCTGCAGATGCATCTTTTCCTTAGCTACGGTCTAAATTTTCATCCCGACGTTTCTCGTTTGTTATGAATATGAGAGAGCGCGATATTGGCTGCGTTTAAACGGAGCAAAAAGCTTAGGGAGCGCTTAGTGACTATTGTTGTGACTGGAGCATTCTTTTGGATTCATGATCCAAGGGAATATACCAATCGGAAGCAATAATCATTAGACGCTTACATAGTAAAAAAACACTTGTGCTAAAATCGATCCTTGTTAAAATTTTTTATCTGTGTGCTAATTTAACATATTTTGTTGATGTTATCTCAAGATTTTGTATGTTGAGTCGATATTCAACATATGTAAGTGTAAAATAACACATTTTCACTTCAATGTATAATATATTAATTTTTATATTAATTTTAACATAATATTTGTGTTACTTTGCAACACATTCATTTTGTGTTAAATTAACACAACAATTTGTGTGGACCGTTTGATGCGTTAAATTTGACAAAAATTTGTTTACTGTGTACTGAGCTACTTTTTCTGTTGAACGCCGGCAATGTGTCTCGCGTAGCGATTTTTCCGTAGTATGCAAAGGAATGCGCTCGATATTCTAAAAAGTAAAGTGGAGGGAAAAGCCTATTAGTTATAAGTCAACGTATCGGAATAACGAATGACTCGCGTATATGACCGAAATCTTCTGGAGCTACTTTCTGGAAGAAAGGGAAGTAGTAGTAGTTTAAAAGACGCGTAGTAATTCCCCAGGTCAAAGTTCCATTCTTCACATTTATAAACATGACCTGTTTCAAAGACGACGGCGCAGCATTTTGAGTATTTCCTCTAAATGTCCCGATGACCTTTGTAATCGCCGGATATCGAGTGCGAAGCTTTTCGGCTTGTGAGGTATTATTTTCACGTCTCATGCGCGTCTCTCATTCGTTTCAAGGATACGTTTTGAAATTTGACCTTTTTCATTCACCTGGTAGCATATGTAGCCGGAATAAATATATAAGCTTATATTTTATGTAAGCTGGGAAGGGACAGTAAAAACATCTCTTATGTAACGATTGTGAAACCTCTCTTGTCGAATATAACATTTATTTATCCGCTTTGTAGATTCTTTTGCGCCTTTGCACCATCATGTCACGTTTCCATCGACGCAAACGAATGTCTAAAATAACATATATAACCGATATTCTTTAACTCTTTTTTACAACCCAGTAAAAACCAACTAGCAGTAACATTTCACCAGCAGTAACATCAATGTATAATTTCTCATGCAACAATGTAAGTGTTATATAACAGATGCATTTTCGAGTGAGAAATTGTAACATTGATATAACGTTACTATAGTTGGTGCGTATTGGGAAGTTGTTATATGTTCTTTCCGCTTTGACATTTCACCCATTTCTCTCCATCCGAAACTGCTGAAATGTCTCACTTTAAATGCAGATGTAATTCAACGCTAAAAGGAACGAACCTAATAAAATCTCTCTAATTGCATCTGAATAGCAAGCATCGCCACAGTACTTGAGCGCGATTTGTGTTTCATCCTGCGGAATACATGGGAGCGACTGCAGCTTCATTAAATGTTCATGAAATTGAATCTGTCAAGCGAGCGATCGGAGACACGTTATCTATCGACCGACACGTGTCTCGAGAAGGCGAGATTTAAGATTTTTATATACGTAAATAATGAATCTTATTTCACGAGAATCCACGATCGAAAAGATAAACTGCTTCCGAATGCTCGTTTACGCGTGACCAATGGGTCCTTCGTGAATTCGTTCAAATCTCGGACGATCAAAATTATGCGCGTCCCAGAGGGGAAAGACGCGGTGTCAATTTACATAACGGCACACCGAAAGAAACCCACTTAGTTGACTCAAGTAAAATTCTTATTTGGATTTGGGTAAACAAATATTTTAGTTGTGAGAACCAAAGTTCGGTCCTCCAAACCAAAAGTTTAGTTCTCTGAAACGAAAACGAAAAAGATTTGGAGAAACAAATTTTGATTCTCACAAATGAAACATGTGTTTGCCCATATCCGAACAAGAATGTTGTTTGAGTCAACTAAATGGGTTTCTCAATTTACACAGGCTCGTTGACCTCACTTAAGGACTGACAGTTTTTGCTCAATTGAGTATCCCATTAGCGGATAACCGGCGTATTTTTCGATCAGTCATAAAAACTTATCGTTCGGATAATGAGGGAGACGGGAGTTTCAGCAAAAGTGTGTTATCGCTATGCGTGAAGCAATCAATAGTCACTAGCGATCAAAATTACAAGTATAGCACTGCAAATCAGTACAATTTCGCTGAAAAAATCTATTAATAGCAGCGACTGTTTCCATCGGGGATAAACCTAACTGTAGAAAGAGTGAAACAGATATTATTTATCATTTCCTTTATTATTTTAATCTCATTCTTACGGTATTTTCAATGATTACTTAAGAGAGCGTGCATGCGTTAAACTCGACCGAATCAGATTCAGACCGAAGGCCTCAAACGAACAGGCTACACAGGACGTTAATAAGGGTTTTGCACCGGGATAAGGTTTCAGGATGAGGTTCCAGGATGAGACTCGGCAGGCGGCATTGCCGATTGTACGGCCCTGAGCACGATATGTGCAGTCGGAAGCGGTGTTCCAGCTGCGCATGTGAACGAGGAGCCACAGAGCGCGGGCGTCTCGGCTCGACCTCTGTCGCCTTTTTTTTCCCCGGTGACAGCCGTCGATCCGGACGGTAATTTCGGAATCCGGCCGATCCCGGCAACGTCTGCCGCCGTCGACTCCGCTGAATCTCACTACCGGGAGTTAACGCGAACGAGCTCTAGCCGGCGGTCGTTCGTTTCGTCGTGCGCTCCGCGGTGACCCGGTCACCCCCGGCGACATCGTCTGCTTCGCAGCAGACGGCCCGACTTCCGTGAGCACGTAAGTCTCGGCACGTGTGCGCGCTCTTACGCGCGTACGTCTCGCGTGGCTCTGCGTGCGTAACACGTCAGCGACGCACGCGCGAAAGAGACACGAAAGGAACGTAGGGGACCGACCGATCGACGTCCGTGACGACGACGATGTGACATCGGGAAGTCGCGATTTTCGCGGATTTTCGCGTGCCGATTGAGTGTGCATCTCCGATCCGCAACGAGGCCCGCCATTGCGGAGGAGCAAAGCGCCCACCCAAGGTTTCCGCATAACCGTTGAATCCTGCGGCCGGGCTTCGTTCGCGAATCGATACCGCCTCGCCCGCGACTCCTCGGGAAATTGGCACGCCAGAAATATCGCGGCCGCTGCGCGCTATCGCGTGCTCCGAGACCTCTCCGGGTTCGTCGCTCGCGAGATCAGCGACACGACGCGTCTGCGGATTCGACTTTGGGATACCGACGAATTTTTGTCCGCGTGTAACTTACACCGAAAGAGTGTACGCCCCCACCTCGAGTCATTCGTCATCTTGGCAGGTCTCTCCCGCGGCTGAGTCTTTAGACCGACATTCTTCCGCCTCGCACGTACGTCAAAATGTGTATCTCGTGTTCGTATTGTCACGGATTATAGAACGCGTTACCTCTCATTAAATGAAAAATATCGATGTGGGAATAATAATATTAAAAACATAATTAAGTTACGGTGTCAAGAGAAAGAGAGAGAGAGATGAGAAGGGGAGGGGGGAGAAGAAAATCGAGCAAGACTACAATCGAGTTCGCTGTTACTGTTCCCCGTTGGAAAACAAAAACCGTGGCGACGCAGAAAAAGTCCAGAACATCGCGCCTGGCCAGCGCTAATGTTATATTCCTGCAAGAACTATCGGGAACGTGTGCGGTTTTCGCGGAAAATCGACGCGTAAGACGCCGTTGATCTCGCGTGTCGTTGCGAGCGGAAATTGCGTTTTCCGTGCGCAGCTTTTGGGAAAGCCGCTTTCGAGCGAACGTGATTTGCATGAAATTGCACCTCGGTGTCGATCGACCTTTTCATTGTCGGTACATCGCTTGTTGACACTTTTCAGCACGGTACGACCATGCACCCGAGCGTAATGCTATTGTCGGCATCGGTGGCCTTCGCCGCTGCCGAGAACATCCTAATGACGGAGGTCTTCGTCATTCCCGTCAGACCGGAGACTTTCAAGTGGAGTGCAGATGGTAAGAGACACCAGTCAGTCTGGCTCGCGCGAATTCAACTTGTCTTAATCGTCAGAAACGCCTAGCATTGTAATTAACAATCTTCGATATGCGAGAGTTCGCGACACTTTAACATTTTCTCTGCCGATCTCGCGCCAGTGCGTGATATGGCGTCACGCGTTCGGCGGGGCACTAACTATCAACACATCCTCACGTGACCGGCAGCTAATGTGTTAAGTAAATATTACTTGAATGTATGTAGCACTTTTTCGGCCCGGCAAACAACGTGTTAAGAAGAAACACGATGAAAAAAGAGGAGAAAGAAAAAAAAACGTGCTAAATTCGTTATTTAACGCGTGATGCAATATCAAATTATGTTTGCGTTACGTCGAGTTTCATCCTTGATGAGGTGACCTGATAGAATAAACTTTTCTACACGGAAAAAAAAATTGATTAAATTAACGTAACAGTGGACGAAACAAAACACGTTTTCATTGAAGGCAACAGAATTTTTAGTTTTTAGGAGCGAAATTTAGTTCAAAAGTGGGACCAGAGGTTCTGTTTCCCGCGACGAAAACTCATTTGACTTGTTATCGTTACGTTAATTCAAGCAACTCTTTTTTTTCTCTGTGTAGGGTTATCGCCGATAATCTGACATGACATCTTTCTTTCGGCTCTCAAGGATCAATGCAAGAGAAATGAGTGTTTCCTAAAACGACGAATAACATCGGTCAGCTATAATTATCCTACGTGGGCACCCGTTAACCCATTTTACAATACGAAATTGAACTACATCTTCGTACGTCATTCGCAACACGCCACGAATAGCAATTACTTGCTAAACCGTCTTGCTAAACGTCGTGTTTACAACACGGCGAACATCATATCGGCATACTGCGCGATACTTTCTAATTCAACGCCCACGACGAAGTCATTGACGCGTAAAATGAGTCAATTATTATTCCTTCGTATCTTTCACGGTATATTTTTTAGAATTAAAAAAATCGTCTTATGTCCTACGCTTGCGCGAAAAGACCGGTTTTAAGTTCGGATCGATTAATCATTTCAAACGTGATGTCATAAGACGACATATGCAATTCACGTAATCATTAGTTTCCTATTCATAAGATATAATTTCCTGTTCTATCTAATTTTATTATATTGTCTTTCAATTTTCTACTACTACTGTATTCTTACTATTTAACGTTATTTTTTTGCAATTTAATAACTACGTTCATTCTGATTACCGTATTCATTCCGCATGTTTCAATAAATATTTACTCACTGATTGAAGACTATTTCTTTCCTGTGTATTCAATTCTTTCGTCATCATTAATTCCTGCGTTAGGAATTTTTTTTCATTTGTCAGTTGCTTTTACGAACGTGAAGTAAAAAAATACTGAAGGCGCGTCGTCTTTATTTCAGGACGCACCGATCAATTTTCATATCAGCCATCCTTGTTGAACGCCCCCGATCTACCGTCATGGATACACTACACGTACAGCAAGAAGGATCATCATGGTTTCTTATATGGCGTCGCGCCCAAAGATCAAAAGTACTTTCAGGTGATGCATAATTAATACGTTATCGGGACGACTCGTCGTCGTTTATTACGCGCTGTTGCACTGGACGTCGAGCGCATTACGTAACCGGGGCAAAAATTTCAGCTGGAGATCGTGGGCCTGAACAAACACACCTACGAGACCCGTTACAAGGTGCTTGACATGAACGTACTCGAGAGGGAGAACCTGACTAAGTACGAGGTACGCTTGAAGATCGACAACCTCAACGTGGAGGACATGTTCGATCACAACCGCACCGAGAAGCTCCTCGACATATTCAGGTTCGTAGCGGGACTTTCATCACGCTGCCTTTAATTCTTGTAATCTTTATCCGTCCTTGATAACGATAACAGACACGGCCGTCATTCGCCGTTTCCTTCCTCGCGCGCTCGAGTCTTGCAAGCCGGGGAAATCACCCGATACTGCGCGGTAATTCGATAGTTACATCGGCGTGATAAATTCGCCGTTCTATTTTCACGGTCGCACAGGAAAAAGTTGTGGAAAGGCGCCGCGGATCTGTACGTGACCTTCTTGGCGTCCGCAATCGAGCTCGGCGCCCGGCTACCCCTGAAGCCCAGCGAAGGCGAAGGGTGAGTAACGCGCTTTTCTTTCCTAAATCGCGCGTCTGCCGCACGTCGGGATGTACAGCAGACTCCATTATTGTTTTCTCATTCCTTAGGCATGGTGACATCCAAATTTCTAATCAGAAATATTATTTGTGCATCGTAACAGCTGATAATTTAATAAATCGACAATGATTCTCCAAAGTAGCAGTCACGATGCTATAAATATTCGCAGATGAAAACACTTTCGTCCAAAAGTATATTTAAACGATTTTTCGTAAAAAATGATTTTCGTAACTTACTTTGCAAAGAGTTCTTTCGATACTGTAGAATTTCACAAAATGGAGACCGGTTTTTGCACCGAGCACCGTTCGATCGCGACAAGCTAAATAATTTAAAATCGCGCCTGAAACTTCTTCTCTTACATTCTCAATCACGAGACCCGGAGAAACGTAGCATCTTTTCTGGTTCTCTCAACGTGTATTATCGAGGCATAGCTTGTTGATTACGGCCGTTAGTCTAATGCGCGTTAATTCGAGCAACAGTGACTCTCGCAATAAACGCGAATGAGATTTCGCACGAATGTAGCGAATCATGCCAGGAAATGAGAAATGATGCTGGCATCACAGCGGAGATTAAACAGCCGCTCCGATATCGCTGACGTACTGATCGTCCGATCAACCGCAAACAGCGTCGTGACGTGCATCCGCGACGCTGTGTTTTTTTCTTCTTCTCCCTCTCTTTTTTTTTATTATTTGTTAATAAAAACACATCGCGCTACTACTTCCTACCACGTGATATCTGCCGTCTACGTCCGACGGGAAGAATGTAGAAGGCGTATGCTCTCTTATCGGAGGTTGGATATGTTTAATCTAATTGCGGCCGGCAACTTTGAGGAATGGAAGTAATTAAAGCGATAGCGATCGACGTCGCAGTCCGTCGCGACCGTTAACTGTGCGCGCTTAACCGCCGCTCTGTTGCATAAAAACGACATTGTCCCGAATTTTCATTCACGTAACGTCCCGACCGCTTACGTAAACCGCGACGTACAACGTTCCCAGCAACTACTAACGACGATTTAGTCGAAATGCGTCGTCTCTCACCGTATCCGCGCGTCCTACGCAGCGTAATAACAAAGCGCGCGCAAATCGTCGCGATTGGCGCCAAGTCTTCGCTTCAGCTGATGTCGCAGTTAATACATGTATAATGCATATTGATAAAAAATTCCCGGAGACTCGTATAAGTCACCTAATGCGTCGGCGTATGGACGGGCGCACGCGCGAGGGTTTCTGCATAAACCGTCTCGAGTCGCAATTAGCGATTTTCATCGGTTACATCATCGCGGTTACAACGTGATCGAGGACGCGGATGATGCCCGGTGCGCTTCGTTTACTCGACGGTCAAATTCTTCAGTAATATTAAGCAACAAACATTGTGGCCTGGGTATCGATTATGTGCGATTTTTCTCTACGGCGAAAAAACGTGAAAGATGTAAAGTAAAATGTTTTCAAATTAGGGGATTTACACTTTTCACAAGTTCACGTGAGAGGAGAGAATTCGTAATCCACCCTCGGGGAGTTGTGAATCTTCTCTAGTGTGAACTCCTGAAAGGTGTAAACTTTCTAATTTGAAAACATTTCACTTTTCACTTATCACGTTTCCGCTCCGGCGAAAAAATTACTTGATCGTTACTTTGCATCTAAACTGTCAATTCTAGTCAATTTTGTGGTGTTGGTCGCAAATATAATCAATTAAAATCAAAACTTAGCTCTAATTTCCACCGTATAATAAACAACAATCAAAAAGGAATTTGATATTTGAAGCTTTCGTAGTGTGAGAAAAAGGAATTCTCTTCAAAATTATTTCTTTTAACGCTAATTTTTTAAATTAAATCCGACAAATGGTAAAGGCAGAATATACGGAGCAATGAGAAGTCAAAGCACGGATATTACAGTGCTCATTATAAGGTAAAAAACATTCAGTATAAAGTTAAAATTTGAAAACATTCTGGGTTGGGTTAATAAGGGCAATTATATTGAAATGAATAAAGGATACGTTTGACGTGGGAAAATTCTCTGTGCGCGCAAATCAAATAATAATCTGGACGTATATTATTACACATTCAAATATTATATACTCCCACAGACATTAATATTGACAATATTAATATTTAAACAGCGCTATTTAATACATCCGTGCTTCCTCGTATATTCTGCTAATTTATTACTTTGAAATTATATGTATAATATAGGCCTGTTAGATTTAAAACACGAGCTGTGCTTTTTAATTTCCTGTAGGAAGATAGAGATTAATTTATATCCTTTCGTTATAACATTCTTTATTTCGAAATCGTTAAAAGACATCTAACAATGAGATATTTAGAAATTTTAGTTTTTCTGATAGTATGAAAAACATAAAAGAAAATTAAAAAATTATACTAAAAATATCTTGTTTTCTTTTCATACTTCTTATATTTTTAATTCACAAAAATTGAAAGAAAATATCTTTTATATTTCTTGAACTATAGTCAAATAATTGTTTTTACTACGACGTTCTGTTTTAAAACACATAAACGGAAATAGAAAAAAATTAAATTCGGAAAGGATGCAGTTAATGATACGACATTTGTTGACCGGTGTACTCGGATGCAGTCATCACGTTTACGCAATTGTTGTCGATCGGACGTCGGTTTCGCGAAGAGAAGCGAACAAATCGGCGAATCGCGCGCAATGAGTTTTCCTCATGAATGCGGATGCGGAACGTAACTGCGGCCATGCGCACGGGGACGATTCATTCCGCGGTTCCCATCGCGTGTCACCGTCGTGACGTGTCGCGGTCCATCTGACGCATTAATATATACCTCCGAATGATACGTATTGCGCGTCAAGGTGCAGCATTTCGCACGTATTTACGTATTGCCTGTATCATCATCGATAGAGAATCCGCGCTCGCTGAAGTTATTACCGTTAGGTTTCCCGTCATTCGCCCATTTCGGGAGGGGGAAGCCTTCACCACCGCGGATACACCGACGGACTTCCCAACCAGGAATTTACAATCGCACTGTAACTCCCCCGAGATCCGTGGATCAACGATTTACCGCCCTGCGGCCACGATAACGCGATTATTCCCGCTTTGTCTGTCAGTCGCAGCTTTCCTGGGGAAAACTACGCACTGAGATTATGTAGATGTTCTATAATGACTGTACGGTGGTAATGTTGACATAAACAACCGTGACCGAGCCTTGCTTGACGGCAGCGAGAAGAATGAAGAAACTTTGCGCGCCGACAGTCGCGGCGAACGATGATTTGCACAGCAGGGACTCGCAAATCGATTAACTTCGCTTCATTCCATTTTCAATACTGCACTCGCACACGACGCGATCTTAATCCTGAAAATAACACTCGTGATCTCGACGTCAAAGTAACATCATAGGTCCCTCAAGCTTAGCTTACGTAAAGAAATTATAAAGATCGTGGTTTTTTTTTGTATTTTCTCGAACTAATCACGTTCCATTATGTTTGTTACCAATTTTTAACTATCGTCTTTGTAGACCGGTTGCCGCCAGGAAATCAATTATCTCATTGAATCAGGCTGATAATAATAGTACGCAAAGAAAAATTTTATTCTAAGAAAAGCGATTACTCAGTTTACTTTCCTCCTAATAATTATCTTCAACAAGGAATATTGTCTTGATAATAGTTTTAAAATATATTCATCACAAATTTCAGAAAACTTCATTATTACGTGCTCAAAAAAAGGAAAATAAGCTGAGCAATGAGCTGATATTATTCTCTGCACTTGCACTGCTATTATCAGCCTGATCTAATGAGATAATTAGTTTCCTAACGGTAACCAGTTCAATGTAGGACTAAATTAGACTTAAATTAGGAAAATTTCCAAAACTCCCACTCGGGCGTTCCCGATAACGAAGATACTTCCCTGCGGTGTGCTTTTTCTGCATTTTCGTGATAGAGTTTCAATATCGATCGCGGATCTGGAATCTTATCGGGATGCAAATCTTATCGCAAATCTCCGCGCGCTTGTTGTCGCCAGAGCGACCGTCGAGAAAAATAATATCTCTGCGCGCGTCTTGCAATGAGTTGCGAGTTGCAGCGCTGTTGATGTTATTGGAGCGCGGCACAACGTGGGCAAACTTCCTTCCGGTGCCACGATACGTGACTACAAAACAGTGTTACGCGGAGATACCGCGTCAAAGAAGCTCTCTGAATCGTAACGAAAAACCGCCGCTGTATTGTCGCGGCGCGATGGCAGGCGGCGGCGCGCGATAGAGCGAAAAAGGGAGGACGAAAACGCGAAAGCGTAACGCAGCCAGCGTAGATTTATGTTAGGCCGTGGAGCCCGGGGGCGAAATAAGAGGAACGATTTCGCAACCTGAGATATCGATTCATAATGAAGCAGCTGAGGCTCAGGTTCGGCGGCGCGTTTCTAACCGAGGCTTTAATAAGCAATATTTTTAATTGAAAACTTGACGATTACATTCGTCAAAGTATTATTCAATCGATTCTAGACTCAAAGTTATGAAATATTTATTACTTAGGACGTTATTTATAAAAAAAATGTGACGACGCTGCATAATGCATAATGGATCGAAGAAGAGCAGAAAATGGTAATGTGGCCTCCTCATCAAAATAGAGTAAAAAATTGCTTTTATTTAAAAAAAAAAAAAACACAATGTTTTGTTACAAATTTATATATTTACTCTCTTAAAAGGAACAATATGAATAAATACAGCCAGGGTTCTTAACGTAGATACTGACTTGCTTGCTAGAAGGTAGATACAAACTATCAAACTTCTAGGAAACGAATAGATTTTTGAACTTTATTTGAATTATTGATCTATCTATCAAATAACCGCTTGGGGGCGGAAAGTCATGATGCCTACAAGGCTCACGATTCCACTTTCTCTTCTCATATTAGATAGATTTGAATGATGCATCCACCGGTCGCAACGATACTCCTGATTCATGGAATTTGACTCATCGCGCGTATTATTCAGTAAAATCGCCCGGCGGTCTATATAAAAAACGCGTGAGTCAAGTTTTTTTTATAAACGAGTCACTGAAATTAGTTATTCCTTCCTTAAGAGGAAAACACCACAACGTACTTGTGACTTGACAAAGAAACAATACGTGTGATCGGGAGAACGGTTGGAACGACGGATTTCGTTCGCGGGGATTTTCGCGAAACGAAAGAATCCGCTAGCAAGCAATTCGCTCTCCCTTCCGCGGGGAGTTCTCCTTTCACGACGCCTCTCCGTCAGACCTCTTTTCCGCGACAATTCGCTCAATAGCATCCTGATAAAAATTGTTCTTGCTTCTCGTTGAAACCCCGCCCGATGTCGGTTACGCGAGTTTATAACGTCGAATAACGCGAGACGCTTTTCCCGTCTGAATCGCGTCCGTCGCTGGTGCGGTTGCACCATCGTCGGGGAAAGAAGCGACAATGATAACAGCCGCTCTCTCTCTCTCTGTTACGAATCGCTATTGTTTTAACGCGATATCAGCCAACACGTTCGGCGAGATTCGGATAACGGAGTTACCTTTGCCACCTCGCTGTGACTTGCCGACGCACTATATCTCTTTCTCTCTCGCGCTGAACACGCGAATCGCACCGTGTCTTGTCACCGCACTTGTGCGCCTTTCGTCGCTACCGAGGTGGCGGCCACGTATGTCAGCTAAGCTCGTGCGCGAGCAGAATTTAAGCTCGAACCACGCTTGCGACGACGAAGACGACGACGATGAAAAGACGGGAGACGCGGTTACTCTCTCTCTCTCTCTCTCTCTTTCGCGGGAGAGACGAATCGATCGATCCACCGCATCGATCGTCCGCACTTGCTTGTCACTTTCAGTTGGTCGTCACACTTTTATTGCGTCGTCCCGAGGTACGATGACACCGTTCTGTATACGTGTGTGTGTGTGTGTGTGCGCGCGTCAATGCGGCAATTATTGCCAACGTAAGTGCGATATCGCCGCCGCCGCTCGTAACGCTTAACCGACTGACGGGGGCTTGTTCTACGGCTTGTGTGATAAGACCGCGCCTTAGGAGCCACCTCGTGCTCTCGACCTTAGATACGTATCAGCGCGTATCGCCAACGAAAGCCGCGAGATCGTCGGGATTCGCGATCGGACGCGCCGCGTAAACGCCTTTCGCCGGTTGATTCATTAGCGTCGGATCACGAGAGCGCGAAGCTACCTGTGGCACGTCGCGAAAGAGGAGCTGTTTCCATCCGGATGTAATCCGGAGACAGGATTTCCTCTCGAAAGGACGAAGCTCGGCTTTTTCACGCTCGACCACGTGTTTATACCTCGAACCGTGTTGCGTTTTTAGTTCACCGATACGCAAAAAGAAAACGGGAGTCTCCCCTATGGAGGGGGGTGAAAAGAAAAAGACTATACAAATATGACGAACGAAAATCGATCTCGCGTTTTGCCTCACACACACACACACGCCCGTTGCTCACGGTGACCCCACGCCGTGAGAATGCCGGGTTAATATTACGCACGTATTCCCCGGTGTATCATGATGTTTAGCCTCGGGCTCTGTTATTTGATCGATGGAGGTGTATCGCGAGGGATATCGAATTTAAACGCGCGCACCGTGTGTTATCTGTCGTGCGCTTTCTGTCTGTCGCTCTCATACGAGAAAGGTCAGGTGTATCGTAATGATATAAATCAATGTAAATCCTTCGTCGAGAAAGAAGGCGCCTGAAGCAGCATGATATATCCGACGGTATTATAATAATTAAATTTCGCAACGCGCGTGATAAAGTAATTGCGTTAGAATGGGCGGTGAGTCGATTTCGTCGAAGCAAAGGAAAAACACCAAAACTATATTTTAGACGTTTGCGTTGCCTAAGTGAGATAGTTGCGGCCAGTTGAACGATTAAGAAATATTCTTCGATAAGGCAGCGGCAATATCGAAAAGGATTCAAAGTGTAGTATTTGTCACCGACAAGAAAGGACGATCGATAAGAGATAGTTTTCCAAGCTCAACAATGTCGTTTTACACTTACATCGTCGACGATGTATGCGACGAAAGACCGGACAATCGTTGGTTGCATTTTATTGTTAATTGCGCGCTCGCACGCGGACAAAAGTCTCGTGCACGGTACTTAAATGAATCCTTGACGGGAATGACGCAAGTACCAGGCAGCGAAATATCGCGATATGATTCGTTCGAGAAGTCGAGTTCAAGTTTCTTCGTAACGTCGTAAACGGTCGCGGTCCTTGAGTCCTATTTGATTCAGTGCTTATCGACGTACTTTGTTTCACCGATATTATACTCTCGGCGTATTTCTCTCGTTGTCGTTTCGAGAGACGGGTAAAAAGAAAGAGACAAAGAAAAACAGAAAAAAAATACATATATACATGTAAAGCTCTTTCATTTCAGAGTGGTCGTGCGATTAGGCAGCACGGTGCCGTTTTCGCAAGAACTGAACGAACTGCAGGAGGAAGTGAAGCCGCTATGGAAAATGCCATCGTGTCCCCGAGACTTCAAGCGAACCAGCGTGGAAATACTTTTCCGAGAAGCCGAGTTCAGATTGGACTGGTGTTCCTTCAGATTAGTAAGTCGGTCGATCGGACAAACCGCGCGAAACTCCGTTCGCAAGTTTACGCTGCGCGAGAATAATCTCAGGAGTTTTCTATTCCTGTTGGCGCAGGCGGAGGCTCGAATGACCGTGATTACCGGTTTTACAACTCCATACCAGTTGCATTAAAAAAAAATTTACGTAACTACGAGATGCGAGGTGCCTCGTCACACAAGTCCGACGTGGGCAATTATAATTTCGTCGATTTCGTAGATTCGCACGCCATGTCGTGAATTCATAATGACGCTGTACATTTTACCGGTGATATATCACTATCGAACATTTCCCGTGTGCTTTCGATACACGTAATTGTTTCTCGTTTACGTGATCGTTGGTCTTCCGCAGACTCATTGCGAATGATTAATTCCCATACACTGAGTTTTGTCAACTAAATGAGTTTTTCATTCGAGCCGCTCGATTTTGCACGATAAGGTGGTGTGCACAATTCGGATACTGTTTTGGCAATATTTCCTTTTGCATATCGCTTTCTTCGTTAAGCGATAAAAAAATATACAAGTTTTCCGTAGCTAGAGGAAGACCAGCAAAGCTTGCAACACGAAAGCGCCCGGCGAGGCCCCAGCGTGAACGTCGTTGGCCTGCCCTCGTCGGGCATTTCCGAGCACACGGAGTGGCGCTGGGCCCGATCGACGAAAGCCAGCATACCCACGAGAAGCTACTTCAAGGAGATCGCCACCACGATTTTCGTGCCGGTGATTCTGCTGCTGGCGCTGGGCGCTTTACTCAGCACCGCTCTCTGCCTACATCACGAGAAAATGTAAGCGCACGGCTTAACATCATCGAAGGAAAACCAGTCGTCGGTTACCCCACAACGAGTCGCGACGGCCGTCTGCATTCCGGAAGAATCGGTTTGTCGAGAAATTTAATTTGCATCGCAAATTAACGTCGCGAATTAACTCTAAATATAACGCGGAATATGCATATATATGTCTCTTTTTATTAAAATTTTCTCTAGATAGATCTCTCTGGCGCGAGACCACATCATTTAATCGTATTTTGGAAAGCACTGGCGCCTTTTTGCGCACGTTAGTCCTGGGAAAAGAAAAAAAGTTTCACGACAATGCACAGAAAAAAATAGTCGTAAATCAATGATAGATATTCTCATCATGTATAAGCAAGAATGTTATGATATTCTTAGGATATTTTTAGTCTTGAATTGAGTGCAATTAATACTTGCATCAATACAAATCCAATCAAATCAAGACTAAAAATCTTCTAGGAAAATTAGAATATTCTTGCTTATATATAATAATATCTATTATTGATTTTAAGATTTTTTTTTTCTTGTTTAGTCAATGTTTGACTTGCCCCTTTCCATTAAATCAGTCAATTTCAATACTTCGGCCGTTACCATACGAATGTGAATTTGATGTCTTATCTATGACGTCGGCATCACTTTCGACCTTTGTGACGTTTGCGTATGGATGAAGGCGTCATTCTTCCTTCGGTTTTCGTTCGTATTCGTCACTCATGCCACGTGTAATGTGATTCTAGTAAGAAACTAAAATGATCAATTGTTTAGCGGAATGTTTTGAATGTTGTGAATACGGTGAAGAGTCGAATATGACGTAATACAAGATATCACGCGCCGTATTGACTAATAGTAATTGATGGAAGTGCTTTTAAGGAGAAGAGGTGAGATCGCTCAGATAAAAAATATTTGCAACAGAACAGAAAAACGGACCGGGAATTTACGCGAACGTAAGCCGGCACTGGTGTGCGTGGAGTGGAAGCGTTATTCAATTCATGACGTACGTAATTATCACACTCGGCATGAAGTGCAAGCCGTTGTTTATCTCGGTACGCGGAAAACTTTTTAAACAATTTTGAAGAGTTTTTCCCTAACCGCGAAAACAGTTGAAATTGGCGTAGTTTAAATGAGTCACGCTTCGAAATGATCAACAATGACAACAAAACTATTTTTCTGTCAATCTAAATCTCGCACATTGTCTTGTCGGAAAACGTGAAAAAAAAATGTGTATTACAAGATTAAGAGTTGCGTATACATTTTGATGAATAGTAATTTTCTCTAACACTAGCATGGATTAAATGAGCATTCAGAACCGGTCAATTTTCGACTAATGAATAAACAAAGATGGAAACGTTACATTTATAGAAACGATAAAAAATTCGAAATTACATAGTCATCGCGGAAACTAGGTTCATAGACGCGATGGAAATAACCGGTTGCGGACGAATACAAGCATCGAATTGGAATTGCCGTGCATGTGATGTAACCGATCCAATTATGACCTTATTGTAGGCGCTACTACGTACGTCATACCGCGTAAAAAGAAGAAAACACGTAGTCTGTCAAACGTCAAACCTGTTTCGATCCGGATCATTAATAACGATTAAACTGATAACACGCCGCAAAACGGCGATATTTAATGCCTCGTATGAATATTTTATTGATCTTTAATACGAAGTCTTTGCATACCTGTGCTGTTTTTAAACTCCAGCTCAATCGTTCCAAACTACAGACACTACTAAAAAGTGCCGAAACAACTGTCCGACTTATCCCAACTCGATTCCGATCCAAATATTTTCGAGAGCGCAATGACCGCCTTATTAGTGCTCGCCGGCAGTTTGCTTAATCAGCTGGCTATCGGTAACATCGTTAATGACGTGCGAGTGAACCTCTCGTAGAGCATGCAGAAAGAGGAGAAGAGAAAAAGAAAGAAAATGAGGAACGGTAAGAATGCCCGTTAAATAATTGAGAAGAGAGAGAAACCACAAAATGAACACAAAACGATCAAAGACAGAAGTGATAATATATGAATGTAAAAAAATAACAGGAAGAAGCAATAAAATCTGCTGAGGAAGAACGAAAGAAAACAAGGCGATATTCATCGAGACACCTCAGCATCGCCCGTTGCTGACGACATGACACCGATAATATTCGAGGGAATTACTTAACACTAAAATACCGAGCGGTCATTTCTGAACGTCTCTTTCTATTTTCTACATTAATACTCTACATACAATTTCTAATATTAACGTACGAGAAAGTATCGATAATATATATTTTTTTCAAGATCATCATGGCCTAGCCACGACGATGACAATGCGAAATCGTGTCACCTGATCTTTCTCTATCTCTCTCTTCCTCTGTCTTTCGTCAGAAGTTCGCTCGTCATACGCTACATACGCGGTCGCGTCGAAACCATTCCGCCACATTCGGTCTCTTTCACGTCGTGTGTACGCACACACGCATGCATATACAAACACACAGACACACACGTGCGCACGCACGACGCACACGAGCGTATCCACCGGCGCGTGGCACGCGTACGTGCGTGAGATGCACGGGGAACGGGTAAGTGACCGCGAGTGATCGGTGCTTTACGATCAACGGTCAGATGGTGCGTGACGCGGGCGATCGGTCTCGCGTGACGCAACGGAATCGCTTATCGGCGCTCGCTGTTAACACGGAAATAGACCGAGGTGTCTGCCTCGTCGACACCGATTTACGCCGATCGGGGCGGTCCGCGCGCGTGCTAATTTCAACCGATGTAAACAACGGCACGGTTTCGTATTCTCAGGTGTCTGGTCGCGCGTCTACGTTTCCTGGCGAAAGAGGGTTGATGTTTCGTTAACTGTGCGCCTAAATTTATCGCGTGCGCCCACAGCTCGCGCGCCTCGTCATTGTAACGCGACGCTCGCGCGAAGTTGCGTTTGTTTCGCAAACATATATATACCACTGAGAAAAGAGTCGCCAGTCGCTTTTGTCGATTTATTTATTCGTATCCGGCCGATATAATACGGACGCGTAGGCGTCGGATTTTGCAGCTATTTATATTATAATATTTTTGCGGAAGTGTGGCGCCGTGACTCGCCGTGCCGCGACGCGACGAGTTTTCTTCCGTCGAGGGCTTTTCGAATTCGGATCGGTTTCTTTCGAGAATAAGCTTGCTGTCGAATTTAACACGTGGCAGTGCTGCACAGAAGAAAAGGAAGATTTCTTTGAATTTAGTATACGCGTTTGTTCGATTTGGGTTTGATTAATATAAACAGTATCATTTTTTATCAGATATTTTGTTGAATGAAAATGTTGTTCCACTGGAATAAATCGAAACCGTACAATCCTGTTTGTCGAATCAAACACTCGTTTATTTGTTCCATTCCAAAAGACAAATTTGTCCCAATTAAAAAAATCGTATTCAACCCGAAGAAACCTTTTTCTCTGCGCGGACGTTACTTGTACTAGTCAATAGAATATACAAAAAATATACAAAATACTCACTAATAATAACCACGAGTTCACGAAATGATATAAAGCCGTCTCACGCTGTACGCTTCAATTACTGGTCACAAAAGCTGCTCGGCCGGCCCAGCTTCACTGCGTCACCGTGAAGAGCGCAAAGTGCCCGGAAATGATGCGTACACAATGATCACAAAAGCGTCTTTACAAAGTTATCGCCTAAGTACCGCCGTAAAATCGGCGAGCTTCCCTGCGCGTTCATGAGAATGCGCGCTTCGTTAGAGGATTCCGCCGTCTTTCCGTCAGAATTTTCATCCGATCGACCACGGAATTATATGCCACGAATCTATCGAATCGGTGCCTATCAATTTCGTCGCGACGGTACAATTCCTCTCGGCGGTCGATTTAATCTCCCGTCGAACGTTATCTGGTCGGTTTAACAATTTCTCGAGTGTCTCTTTGTTAATTCATCCGTATAATCCGACCGTGCTTTCATCTCGACGTGCGCCATTTTTGCCAATACCGACTAATCCATCGTAATTAGGCATCTTTGCATCCGAGAACATCGCTGTTGGTTGTAAATATTCAATGGAACCTGTCGAACATTTCGACGATAACAGGCCACTCGAGCGCGATATGCGAAATTGCGCACCTAATCTAATCCTGACGTCAATATTTTTCGCCAAAGGCAGATGAAGGCAAGATAAAGCTCCCGAGGCCTCTTATTAATAGCCCGCGATCGATGTATCAGGTACGATTGTTGGCAAAATAAACACCGATCTCTCCGATCGCTCTGTTCGTAGAATGCATCTATTGTCGCGCATCGCGATAATCGCGAATTATTCGGGCCGCAACGAATTATCGGCCGCGAAATGTCCTCGGTGACACTTATCAAGAACAAAGAGATAAACATTTAGCGTTTATATCCAAGCGATAACGGAGACACGAGCAATTAATAACTGGCCAAGAAATTTAGTTGTCATAAATCTGTATCCTTTCCGAATGTTAATTTCTAAATATTGAATTGATGGCTTATAGATCCACGATACAATTCTTGCGTTGACCGACGTTAATAGTAACGGATGAGGAGCTTCTGTTCACGCGCTTCGAACTCTCGGGAAACCGTGGCGGACTGCCTCGCGATATCGTCGCCTCCGCGCGGCTAAGCGAAATGCAGCGGAGTCTCGTTAATGACTTTAATCGGCTCCGCTATTTTCGCGGTGTGTATGATAATCGCGAGGCAAAGAGGCGAAAGCGCGCACGCACGCAGCGTACGTACGCACGTACTGGCGCGCGCCAGTGTATGTGTCTTCAAGTATCGTGGGGCGCAACAATTTTCATTGGCGCGTCGCGATAATAAGTCAATTACGTCGTGTCACACGTGACGATTGACGCAGCACTGACGCGCAGCGTTCATTTCGCGTAATTACGGCATTGGGAATCGCGTTCATTGAAGTTACGATCGATGTGTCGCGGGCGAAAAGCTGCGCGCACGCTGCAACGCAGCGCTCCTTATCTATTTATTTCCGCGACCCGCTCTTTCTTTTCTCTTTTTCCCCTAAGGGTCGGTCGACAAACCGCGCTGATCTTCGCGCGCGATCAAAGTAATCGCGGTTGATAACGCTGCGCAAACAGGAACAGGACTCGCGCGCGCGTCATAGCCGATATGAGTCATTAAAAGGTTCTGGCGATTACGGCGGATGAACAAACCACGCGGAGGAACAAATGAGCAGGGGGGAATGAACGAACGAGCCTGCAGAAAGGCCATTAATTGCGAGCGAGTTATCGTAAAAGCTCGTCACAACGCAGGAATTCAGTCTCCTCCTCCGTCACGGTGTGACGAGCGGGTTTTACCAACACCGGCTCATTTCATTCCAGGATTCTCTCCACTTTCTTCTAGTCCTTCATTGATCTCGCGATGAGTTCATGAATGACCGTGAGGGAAATATCCCCGAGCAGAAATGCATCTAATCGGCCGGTCGAAAGCTAAAGAATAGACTATATTTCCTAGCCCGTTTATTAAAAAAATGAGATAGCAAATCAAAATCGAGAGTACACTGTTCCATCAAAATGTTAAAAAGGCAAAAATGAGCGTTACATTGCTGTCTGGAAATTAGATTCAGATTTTTCGTCTCGTAACTATAATTTCTTTCGTTTAGCCATCAGTTAACACTTATTTATTTAGCCGCTGAGAGTAGTGAGGGTTACATTTCTGGCCAGTAGCGACGTTAAACACGAGTTCACTACCTCTTGACTAGACACCCACGAGGTTCGATTTCTAGCAGGGGCGTTCATTGACGACTCGACCCAATATCCGCGACGATCAGTGGATCCTCTCCGAGCGATTTTTACGATCCTCGCACCATTATCGCACTAAACTTGGTTACATCGCATTAATCGTGCGTTAATACGAGCATCGGCCGAAGAAATTCGTCGGCGACAGAATCGCGTTGTGGAGAAAATCTCGTGTTATCAGATAAAACAGTGCGTTACGATCTGCGATCCCGGGCGTCGATCGTAAAAATGCTCGCAGATACTTGCGACAGCCGGTTGGACGTTTACATGATGAGACGCAAGTGATACGGATCATTAATTGGACGTTATCTTAATAACAAATAAACATCGAATGCCATGTTTATACTTTGTCCGCGATGGAGTTTCATAAATATCTATATTTTCCTCTTCTTATTTTTTATTTGTGTTTTTATAACTTCGACACGCTTGTGCTTGACTCGTAAATGTGCTCTGACGTAAATGGTAATTCAAATGTCGGCCAATCGGAGCGAAATGTAATGCACTATTATCCGATTACGGAAGTTACTTTTCGTATTTTCGATGCATTTAGATTAAATCGGCATGGATGGATGAATGTCAATGTAATTGGTGAGAAGGACGCAAATGTCAATGTTGAATAAAGCGATCGTACGGACTTTTGCCTTAATAACATTAGATCTTGAAAGTCATTCAACGAGACGCGTAGGAATTCTATTCGTGCTTATACTTCTTTTACGCAGTCCATTATTTGTATCTTATTATTCCTAGGGTGGATCCGGAGTCAGATGAATATTTTGATGAACTCTTTAATATTTTCCTTATGAGAGAACAACCTGTCAGGTACGTTTACTCTGTCATTGACCGAGGTCTATTTGAGATTTTCAGTAGACGCTAATTATTGCGAAAATGACAAGACGCCGCTGAGATACCACTAATCGCGCATCTAGTGTGAATCATAATATACCGCGAACTGATAGAAGCCAGCTGAATCTGCCTAACATTCGGATGAAGTTTGTTTTAGTTTGTCTAAATATTAAGCTCTACTAATTTATCGCGCTTGCATGCTCGTTGCGTAACATTTCGGATTCACCAAGAAAATACATTTCCTAAAAATCTCTACGAAAATTGAAATGACGTGTTTACAGTCGTGTATGCCAATGAATTATTTTAACGAAAAAAAAACCAAAAAACGGCTCAATACGCAGGAAATCAAAACTAGATTTTCATTTTATTCACACTCAGAAACTCCGGCTTGGTTCATACCGGTCATTTGATATGTATTAATTAGTAATTTTTTATTAGATCATCTTGATATCGACTTGATATCTTAATCAAACTGTGCGATACGTCTTCTTGATGTCAGTTTGGTACGCCGTCGTTTACATGCGTCGTCGATACCAAAATAATCTGACGGAAAGTTACTAGTTAGCTTATTAACCCGGGAATAGCTACCTGGGGTCATTTTAGACCCCAGTAGTCAGAAAAATCACTCCGAGTGATTGTTTAAAACCTAAAAAAAAAAAATAAGGTGATTACTTCCGCGTCAAACGATCGATTAAACGACCGGTGTAAACTTTTTGTTATCAGAGCTTTCGTTACGTAAACGCGCAATTTTCGAATCACGAGGAGAATCGACACGTGTTTCGCACGTCCAAGTGAAAATCATCGAACTTTTAATGAAACAGTGTCTCTGTGTCGACAGTGAAAAGCGGGAACTCACGCCAGTCGAGGGAGTCGGAAACAACGGCATACAGATGGTGCAATACGCCATGTCGGAGAGAGGCACTCTGAAATCCTTGTCGGCTCAGCCACCGAGCCCGAACGACTCCTTGTCCCGAAGCCCAAGGTAAAAGATTCGCGAAAGAGGAATTGAATAACGCGAGAAGACGCGATCTTGACACCACGCGGATCTGTCTCTTTCGCACGTGCGAACCGCGTTCTTCCCATTCGCGAAGCGGACAAAGTATAAAGGTCAATTCTGTGGGCCGATCAGCGCGACGAAATCGTCTGAAGTCGTCCGAAAAGTCATACCGGTTTCGGTCTCCCGTTAAATCCACAAGTGGACAGATAATGTATTCACATTTTTTTTCTCTCTCCCTTCTCGCGCGAGCTTCTGCCCGGAAGAGATTCTGTCCTTTAGATATGAAGTGAAAAAAATCGCATGTTTACTGCGCGATAGAATCTGTCCGTGAGATGTTGTGTATGTAAGCTTCTAGCGTAACAGGACATCATTTCGCAGAAGCGAGAACGCTGCGCGGAACTTACGGCGGTGTCATTAATCACACAAACGTACGTATCGTGATACTACATCGGTGTGTAGAATTGTAATTATTTACAGTCAGATGTATACACGATACAATCGAGCCTGTGAGTCTAATACGCGGAAGTCCTGAAGAGGTCTATTCGCGCGAAGTCTCGAAAACGTCACGTCGAAGCACGGATTTCTTGACGAATGAACATGAAAATTACATGAGGAGATTGTGGTGAAATCTGTAGCATCCGCATCATCGGCATAAAGCGGAATGTCACGCTGAGAAGAAAAATATTTAAGAAATAAAAATATTTAAGAAATAAGAAATATTCATTCGGTGAGTATTAACAGTATATTTGCTACTTATAGACTGGGAAAAAATGCTTAAATATTTATTTATGGAATATAAGATTTATTTCTGTGAAATAAACCTTATACATATTTTTGATATACATTTTTATGTTGAAAAATTCATTTTCAAATGAGAAATACATTTTCTTCAATCTATAATTTTTCATGAAAACAGTTACTTTTCTATATTTAAATGAAAGAATATAAATCTCTAAATGAATATGTTATTAGTATCCACCGAATAAATATTTTTATTTTTTAGATATTTTTTCCTCTCAGTGCATGAATAATTTAGCATAGTTCGCGAGAACTCGCGAAAATTCGGGAGAGGTTTAGCGAGTGTTTGCGAAAGACAGTCGCCGCAAAAACTGCCGTCTTTTTTTTTCTTACGCGTAGCTATCGCGTTTTTCGAGACGTCCGTTCCAGTATGTGATCGAATTTTGCCTTCCAGAATCTCCAGCGAACGTTGCAACCCATACATTCGCCCGAACCCACCGCCTTACACTGGGCCGAGTAACTTGTGAGTACTTCTAAATCGCGAGAATATATCCGAGTCGAAATTTTAATCGTACATTAAGTCTACTTAGTTTTACATTAAATCTTCAAATGGAGAAAACGGAAATAACCGTCTCATTTGTACCACCAAAAAGAGCACAATAGAAGACCTTTTCAAACTGAATGTAGAACTAAACAGACTTAATGTAAAATAGAAATTTCAACTTGGGTACTTCTACATGCTGACATATCTAATTGCGTGTGTCTGTTTTGCATTCGCAGTGCCGGTCTACGAGCCGATTTCTGACTACACGAGGAGCCCGCGAAGACGTGGTTTTGCTAACTGAATGTAGTTCGCGGGTGGCTTCGCCGATGCTACGAGATATGCCGTGAGAGTTGCAAATTCACTGAAACGGCTCTAAATTTGCAAGTTAACACAGATATTTTACAGGTTATTGCAGAAATAGATGGCCAAATTTTAGAAACATACCCTATTTATCCTGAGGATGAGAGAAAAAAATGAAAACACAGCTTCGAAAGCTCTTCCTCTTTCCAAGATATGAATATTTCTTTATGCGATAGAATTTTCTAAGAATTTCTCAATAATAATAATAATTACATCGTTAGTCGGTAAATCGACAAAGGAGGACTAATTGCTGCGGTTTCTGTGCACGTTTTTTGATTTAGATCCTTTGGATCTTTAATGGCGAAGACATTTCGAGACTTTCATAAATACTATTTACAATAGGTTTTGTAATATAACTCAGAAAGTATTTCTAACTTGGAAAGGAAGCGTTTCTGCCACTAATTTCTGAAACACCCCGTATATGCGGTATTTGTTATTGGTAATCGTAAATATACAAGTTGTTCCTTAAGTTACCAAGCTATACTCAAGGGGGCTATACTCAGTGAGCTTGACAACATATGTCAAGGTTAAGGTCATCGGGGCTGGACCCGTTATTGTCAACATTTATCTTTTTTTCTTTTGGTTGTTTTGCAACTAAAATATCAATTGAAATACGTTTACGTGGACAAGTTGCAGATATAAAGAAGAACGCGAACATCGTGTTACGTAGAATCATTTATATTATAATAATTAAATAACACTCGTGTAACTTTTGATGTGATTGTATGTTGTGATAGTCATAGTGCGATACTCAGACAGCTAATGTCTAAAATCGGGGCGTAAAACATCTTTAAGATATCTCTAAGATATCTTAAAAATGTTTTAAAGACGTCTTATGTCCCGATTTTGGATATTGCGCTTTCTGAATAAGTACGCAAATTTATATTAAAATAAAGAAAAAGAAAAACACACATATAATATTACGGAATCGTTGCGTCTTTCCTTTCCTGTACTTTCACACACGTCTCAACAAATATTTCGAATTCAACTAACGATACTTTTTTTTTTATTTGATTTACACGACCAGTCTTGTCTTTAATCTACTTGCTCATAAAGCATTCTTGTATTTTCTCTAGTGAATGTAGTAGAGAAAAGATAAATGTATTCGTGTGCGAGAAACACAAATTATTCACCGAACTAAATTATCGTTGCTCGGTCATTAAGACTTTCGAAAGCACATACCTTAATTAATTAACGGTCGTTGATTTCCCATTAGCTACCATGTTAGTTCGATTCACATCGCTCATAACAGATACCTGTAAGGCGAAGCGAAGATTTAGAATAAGAATGAAGTGAAACTTTAGTATACACAATAGACACGAAGCCCTTGGTCATGATTTTTAGTCTGATTGTCGTGCATTCAGATAAAATATGTAATTCCCGCCCTTTTTCCCAGTAAAACAGAAAATCATAATGGCGTCGAAATGACGAGGAAACGATTCTAAAAATTCACCGATCCTTGACAAATATGAAAAATGTTTCGATCATTTTTTCGTCATTTTCCGTTCTACCTGGATTTCTTCCATAGTATGTTTGAAATCTTCAACATTTCCCACTCATTTGCGATAGAACATAATCACGGTATTATTTAAAAAATAATGTAGTAACCAGAAGCAACGTTCCAAAGCGCCGCGATGAGATGCGTAGGTCTCGATGGCTCAATTACCTGCAATCCCGTTTTACTTCGGTGCGTGGCGAATGTAATATTTTCATTGGAAGTGAAGCTAATAGTGAAGATGATTTAGTCGCATTCTCGCCGATTTAAATTCGGTTGTACACCGCATTAGGCGCGAAGTGAAACCGGATTGATGGCGGAAACTAGACCGATGACGGTGAAAGGATCGGACTCGGATGGAACAGAAAATGGGAAAGACGATGGCGCCAAAATGATAAGGAAGTGACCACACAAGACTCACTTCTCGATTTTCTCATCACTTCGACGTCACTTTCCGTTCCACCTGGATCCGAGATTCCCGAAAATGCGATTCAACTTTCGAGCACTGGCGCGTCCGAAGTTTGTTTACAGACTAACCTAATCCGACGAACTCGCTACGGCGGTTACGGACAGGGACGCGCATGCGCGTCGCGCATTGCCGTGGATTACCCACGCACTAGCTATTCAACAGGATCGCCTGGATCGAGGCGTGCAGGTGTTGTGACTTTTGACGTTTCGTTTTGATCGCGTAAAAGACGGACGTGCGGGAATTCGTGCGGGCGAGTCTTGAACGTAGCTCCTCACGCCGAGCGTCATGGCCGGTATAGTGCCGCTGTCCAGTAGGTCCGGTAGAAAACAGTGGACGCTACACGGTAATCACCTCTTTGACCTGTGATGTAGTTCGAGCATAAAAAAGCAACACAGGGGAGTTTTGAGCGCGGAAGGGCTGTTTAAGCGCGTGAAGCGCACGTGACCTGTAATTAAGCGCGCGCGACATAAGACGGTGTGGTATTCGTTTCCTGTATCAAATCATCCGCGAATAAACAAAAGAACGAACGAACATAAGAACGCTGATTGTCGAGTGAGAATTGATCAGGCATACACCAGAGAGCTCCATCGTCACGCGATGTTTGGTTAGATAAATCGATGATAGATGATAATTGATTCCAAATTGTGCCTCAATAACATCAAGTTGTAAAATATCCACTTACGTGATCAATATACCATGAATTGAATAAGATCAGCACAGTCGTAGTTTACCTGATTTGTAGTAGAAACAATGCTTATTTAGTGATAAGTGATGAGAGAAGAAATTATGATTAATTTCGAATAATAAACTGAATCCCCTTTGACAGATGGGCCCAGGAGTTCCCTCAGACGGTTACGTTCTCAGCTGGCAGAGGATGGCTGTCCAGAATCCCAAGTGGTTTTGGCCAAGCAATTGTTGGAGGAACGATGTGGTAAACTATATATATATATATATATATTTCATCAGTCACATTTCTTTCTATATCATTCTATGTTCTATTCTACTACTGTGTAATTTATTGTATTTTTAGAGCATGATATTGATAAGGAGGAGAATGCTAAACTAGGTGTTTATTGGCTGACGAAAGCCTCGGAGCAAGGAAATCTAGAAGCCACCGATATTCTCAGGAAATGTTTGGCTACAGGTCGTGGCATTACAGAACACAACTATTATGATGTGAAGAATTGTTTGGATATGACGCAAGATGAGAAACTGGCTAGAAGGGCAGCCAGAGAGATGTTTACAAGGTAGAGGACACATAATTCGATATTAGACAAATAAAGAAGCACACTCTGCACGTATATATCGAACGTAAAACTGGATTTTGCATTAATTAGTTTGTCAAATGGTGAGGACTTCATCACGACGGAGCAATTGCAGAGACGCATGAGGAGTTTAGCGTCTCCATCGATCAACAGCGCTGATTGCTCCCACTCAAATAACGTCTCCACGAACTCGTCGCAAAAGGGACTGGACGATGATAACGATTGCTTCCCCAGAAACGGGCTTCCCGAAGATTCCTCACCTACGAGAGACGAAGATCGGGTGAACGATATTCATGGTGAGAGGGGGGGGGGTTCTTTTGTGGAATTTCTGTGGCATATAACGTTCACTTGTTCACGTATTCGGTACATACGATCGCAGGTTGGACGGATCATCAGGGCGAGAAAATCACAGAGGCTGCTCTGGTGTCCGCAGCGGCGAGCTATGCGCGCGGAATGCTTCCAGTGGTGTCGCGCGTTCTGTGCATGGTTGATCCTTCCGAGCTTGACACGATACCGCTGCTGCAGAGACCGTTCATACATCCGCTCGCGTCGCTGAAGCGCTTCTACAGCTGGCTGATCGAGACGTTGGGTCGAAGAGGGACGTCCGTCAGAAAGTTGCTCTTCACATCGAATCTACACATTCTCCTGTTGCTCCTGTTGTACTCATTATTCGGCACGGAGAGCCTGATCCTTTTTATACCGATGGCTCTCTACTATCTCTCGTTCGTGATCATGGTAGTGGCCACTTTCCAAATGCTCCAGCGGAAACGCGAGTTCAACGACTTCCGCGTGTGGTCGGGCCTCTTCCTGAGTTACTCGGGCGGCAATCTGAATCCCGAAGAGGCCGAGTACCAATTCTGCCGCAACAATCTGAAGCCGTACGGCCACTTTTTCCTCGCATTGCTATTGAACCTGATGATCTACCCTCTGATAGCACACCAGTGGACCCCGCAGTCCGAGTTCACGATAATCGCGGTCACGTTCACCCTCATCACCCTCTTCAACTTCATGTGGAAGAACTCGTCGAGGTTCCCCGACTTCTTGGCTCTCTTCAGCTTCGGCGTGCACGTGCTCGCCAAGTATCCCTACGAGATGGACGTGGTAGTGGCGCAGGGCTGGCGATTCTTGGACATCAGAGTGCCGACGTTCGCTTCCTACGTCGTCGGCAACGGCATCGAGTTCTGCCTGAACTTCCGCGCCGTGTTTTATCTCCTGATACCGGCGGTCTTCGCGAAGATGGCCGCGAGGGACAGCTGGCGTGGCACGTATCGCACTCTGATACCGCACTGCGTCACCTTAAGCTGGTGGCAGATAGCGATCTTCAGTTCTCAGGGCGCAACGTGGTACGGTCTGATCCGGGGCGCTCTGGCGTTGGTTGGCATGGTACTGTTCCTTCCAATCGCCGGCATTGCTTCGGTCATCCTGCCGATCGTAGCCGCTGCCAAGTATCTGTCGGAGAATGACTTGGCTATGAGGATAGTCGTCACCACCGTACTCGGGGGAATGCCGTTTCTGACTTCGTGGTACCTCAGGAGGACCAGGACGCTGAGATTTAATTGGATCATCACGCTCATTCAGGTACGCTATTTCTCCAGTAATCCTCTTTTATTTTTCCCCTTGCCGCCAAATTCATACGAGCAACTTTTATAGATTACTCTCGGCGTTGGCGCTGCGGCATTCTTATCGTGGCCGATGATAATGGAATATAAGCAGGAAGCCGAGGTGGTACCGTACGAGATTGCTCCCACCTTGACGTGGGATCAATATCAGAATTACTGTCATCAGCCCGCGTGGGAAGAGCTGTCGTCGAAGGCTCAGGTGCAGGTGCAGTGCGCACAATTGGAAGGCATACCAGTCTCGTGGGAGGGTTACGTGACGAATATCAGGCTGAAGTCGATCAAGAACAACATCGCGCTCGTACTGAATCCGCTGCCCGACAATATCCGCGCGATACTCAGTTGCATGTACGGGGAGGCTTACCAAGAGAACTGTAATTCGGGCGACGAGATACGTAGGAAGCATTGCAGACACTTCACGGGCATCCAAAGGAGGAGGGCCAAGTGCCACTTCACGGCCTGGGATCAGTACGAATTCGAGATATCCGTCAAGATGAAAAACGGCATGTGGGGAAGCACCACGGAAATATTTCTCGTCGCGGACCATTCCTTCGCTAATTTCAGCCTGAACATATATCCGGGTGACAAGATCTGGTTTTCCGGCACGCTTCTGAACAACGGTTTAGAGAGAGAGTCTCTTCTCGGTGGCTCCGAGCCGCACATCGATCTGGAGGAGATTGGATGCCTCGCGTGCAACTCCCTTGACTTGAAATCCTGCAAGCGTTACAAGTATCGCATAACTTTAAGCTCTATCATCGGGGATCTTTGTCTCAGCATAAAGACTGTACTGAACTTTTTGTTGAATCCGATCGTGATGTTCAAGTGATCGTGTTCCACATGACTGAAATCCCTTAGATCTCTCTAACTTCTTAGACTTAACTGTACGACGAAAACGATTTCGATATTACATTATTACTTCGATTGATTCAACATTACATGGACATAATTTGATTGAAGATAAGAGTATTCTGCTCGTGAGACGATTTAGATTAAATTATAAACCGGGAAAAGGGGAAATTGCGAAAGATTCGTGTGAATAATGTACCAAGGAAATTTAATTTTAGAACACGACGAATCGATGAATTATGAGCTGCAACATATTTATCTCAAAAGACATTTCAACATTGAAACGCATACAAATCTATTGTTAGTATTATTATATGATCTATTGATAGATTTACATGCGTTTAAGCGACAATGTAACGTGACGTGATCGTTTTATTGTAATGGATTATCGTTTTACATATTACGATGCCATAAACATGCTGCGCAATAATGCGTGTAGTATAATTCAAACTGAATGAAATGACTATTACGTCAGTTACGTGAAGTACGCAGAGCGGCATTTCCTCGGTGTTCTGATATGCGTGTCAGAAATCGAAAAAATATGAAAGTAGAAAATAGTGCAAGTGTTTCGATGTTACCGACGCCTCAGGCAGTACATTATATGTATTAGGCTCTCATAAACAAGTCGGAATCCGCTTCTCAGAGTATCGCATATATTTTAAGATTGATATACTCTTTTGACGCTAAATATGAGCATCATTATGAAAAGGCACCTTTAAGCACAAGTAACTAGGACTTCAACTGTTTGAAATCTAGTTACTTCCACTTCACGGTATCGATCGTGTGTAACTTCTCTCCTAGGACGGAAACGAAAAGTGAAACATTTTCAAATTAGAAAATTTATACTTTTTACGAGTTCACACCACAGGAGAATATTTATGACCATCTAAGTGTTGATCATGAATCTTCGCCTGAATTCACGAAAAGTGTAAATTTTCCAACTTGAAAACACTTCGTTTTTCATGCTTCCTAGGGGAAAAATTACGTAGTCGATACCCAAACCAAATCCCGTTGTGTAAAAATAATTCCTAATCCTTATTCCTTCTACTTAATATTTATTCTTATTCTTAATATATGTTCTATTGTGCGCAGAGTCTAAAGCTAATATATATTTTATATATACATACATATATCATATTATATATATATATATATATATATATATTACATATATTTTATATTTCCTTCAGATTAGAATACGAGGTGATCCTCGAGAAGCAGAGAAGGAAAGGGAAACCTTACCTTCGCCTTTGACCTTACGCTTCGCCGGGATCCTTCGTCGCGCACGATCCACCGCGCAAATCCAATCAACTCGTTTCCGCGCGTGACTACGCGACTGCGCGCGTCCGCTGACGCTGACAATCGCAGTTCCCGGAAAGCGGCGGTAAGCCGCCGCCGTCGTCGCCTCAGTCGCTTACGAGTGGCGTACGATGAGGACGATCGGTGCCCGGGGCGTTTGGAGTTGTTCCTACCACTCTTGTGATCACTCTCTCGTGACACCGAGCGGACGTCACTCGGCCGCTGAGTGTCATGACGTTACGACGCTGCGTTAGGCCCATCGCGCGTCTCGGCAGTTGACGACATCCGCTCCTCGCGTGTGCGCCGCGCGTACGTCGTTATCCTCCCGTCGTGCAGCTCGCGATGAGCGTTGGCAACCTCTGAGAACGCAATCCAAGACTCAGCGATCGTCAGCCCGCCGCTTAAATGGTACGTATGTACGCGCTGCGTCTCGTTGCGCGTCCGATTCCTTTGTTGTTCGCGCGCGCCAGCGTCGTCAAATGCAGGCAGCGATGCGACAGAGTCAATGCCGTTTAAACACCAACCGTAACCCCGTTTCGCCCGTTTCGCGATATTAAAACTGCATCCGGGAGAAATTCGCAATAACCCATCGCGGACGCATCGCCCGCCAGCGCCGTTGTTGTTTTCGTTAAACTCGCCGTCCCGTGAGCTTCCTCCTCCTCGCTGCGCGGACACGTTTTTATGCAGCCGTTGTTACGAAGCGCGTAAATCCGTCGATGATCGTGCGTCGCGAGGAGAGGCGGGCACGGGTTCCCCGAAAATCGGATAATTGGCGAGGAATATGCAGACTTGACGCGCTGTGTTTTCCCGGGACTGCGCTTCATCGCCTGTCAATTATTTTAATTGCTACTGTGTGTGAGTGGGCGCGCTTTGTGACGATCATTCAGTCGAACGTTATATCCGCGAGACTTCTCAAAAAAAGCTTGAAGTCGAGGAAAAAATATCGCTGATTTTGCGATGTAATTTCAAGTTGAGCTCTTCGATGATTCGAAGTTACCGGATAAAATCGTTTAGAAGCACAATTATGTATGAACTGAATAACGCGTGCCAAAACATGTATCCGGTATTTGTTGTTCAAATTCCGACTGTGTGATAAAAGATGATTGCGGTGATTGTAAATGTTACAAATGTTACATAAGAGATGATTATATGTGAGCCGAATAATGCATGTTAGAACAGTATCCAGCATTTGTTGTTTAGATTCGGACTGTGCGTGTGTCATTGGTAAACAACAATGATTGTAAACGTTACAAGTGTTATGTAACACGTGTGTAAAATCCTTTTCTGAAACCTGTTATTTATATTGCAGGCTCTGCGTATAATGTCAGCCATAGTGCCGAGTACACACAATGTGACGGATAACGATCACGTGAGCGAGAAGCAGAAGCTGCTGGAGGAGCTGTTGGCCGCAGCGAAAAACTGCCATGTCCGGTTCGGAGGACGCGCGGAACTAGCCACCGAGTCCGAAACGTGTGTGGCTCAGCTCTGCCACATATTCGAGTTGATATTCTGCCATGGGATCAAGACGAATTGCATAGAGAAGATCAACTCGGCGTTCAGGTAATGTCCGCCGCATTGCGCGACGCTGTGTTTGACGCCCGTCGTCGTAATCATCTCCCTTCTACGATTTCCCGCCCTGTCACATGGCGAATGCAAGGTCATGAAACAGACCGTACCACCGTTTATCCAAGACATGACTCACGGAACGAAATGATAAATGTCTAAATGACTGTGGTCTGCTGATAAATTTCCGACACGAGCGCGCGTGTGATGATAAAAATTGCGTCTGCTCGAAGTTGTGAAACAACGCTAGATAGAAGAGCGGTCACTAAAGAGGAATCGTCGCACGTTTGCTTCACAGACACGTGTCGGACCTGGTCTCCGGCGGTAACGCGAAGCCTGGTAGCGCTGCCTATGCGGCGTTCTGGCCGTGCATAAAGGAGCAGCTCACCTGGCACGAGCAGGAACGCTTCAGCGTGTTGCGGAAGGTGCACACGGATTACGGCCGCGGCCGAGCGTGGCTGAGAGCGGTCTTGAACGAGAAGTCCCTGGAGCGGCATTTGCACGCTATCATAGACCCCGGCACACTGTCGCCCTTCTACGAGGAATGGGCCTTCTTGCTCGATCAAGAGAAGAGCTCGGTGTTGCCGAACGTAGCAGCAGGTATTTGCGCTATTTGAGTGTTGGTGCGGCCGTGGTGTTCGATTCTTTATCACGAGGTAAATTAACACGTTGACTCTCTCGTAGGCCTCGGTACAATTTTATTCGCGATAAGGATAGACAACGAGGAACTCGACGACTGCCTGAAAGCGAAGGGAATGGACAGAAGCAGGGCCGTGCAGTCGGAGCCGGTTATCCCCGCGTTGATCCCAGGTGAAATAACTGAGTCTGAGTCGAGGCAATACTAAAGACCATGAAAAATTTAAAGGCACTGAACAATCATTAATAATATTTAATATACTTCGTTGTACGTCTGTGTATATATCGATAAAAAACATCTAGAGAATAACCGTAAATTATAAAATTTGTTCTCATTATGCTCTGTGTCGGGTGACTAAATATTATGGTATCTTTCTTCGATTACCTCCGGCCGCTCCGGCCGCTTTTCCTCTTTGAGAAGATTTGATATGAAGACTCAGGATGTGAAGGTCTTTAGTATTACTTCGTCGATGTGACGAAGTTATCTTTTCAGATAACACAGATCGTTCATTGAAAAATGCCAAGTCACCGAGACAATTTTTATCGGGAGTCAAAGTGCTTACATCCAGAGAGATCGGTTCTTCGAGTCTCTTCCTGGAAAACGAATTGATTTTAAGCGATATCCAGTAGAAATACGATCTACTTGTCGCGCAACGAGAGAAATTCCGAAGGTTTTCTCGAATTGTTCAACGAGCCAAGATTGTATGATCCATCGAAACAGGACCTCCCACGTCTCAACACGAAAAAAAGAAAGTACCGGTCCACATAATCTCCTTCGACGATGACGAGGGGAGGGATGAGCGGAAGGAGACCACGACTTCGATGAGCGCTCCTGCGACGTGCCTGAGTTCTCCCACTGCGACGTCGACTAAGGACTCTATCTCTCCTTGCTTGGACCAAGTTTCTGAGCCTCAACTCGACTCCAATGATAACACGGTAGACAATACGAAGTTCCCCGAATGGGAACAATGGTAAGCACCTTTCACGATGATGACTACGTAACGATCATTCGTGAGATGTGCTCTTCTCATAAAACCCGTTCTGACGTTGGCAGCGAGTCTTTCGAGGAGGAGAAGATTTTAACCCCCGTGACGGATGCTGGAAACTTGGGCGGCCTTGTACCTGTGTCACCGCTTGATCAAACGTTGGACGATATGTTAGTCACTCTGCCAAATTACTTGGACGTGAGTTTGCACCGTAATTGCTCCTAAATTTGCGATTGGCGTGTTTTACTTTCCTTTGTTTTCGAAACGAACCGAGTTTCCGAGTTCCGAGAATTTCCTTGCGAAATGCGTTTTCGCGCGCAGGATTCGTCGGAAGTGACGGAAGCGGCGATGGAGGCCACGGAGCCGTTAGTCGGCTTGGACTTCCACGTGGACCCGGAGAATTTAGATATAGATACCTTACGCGTGAGGCTTTTAGCTATGACGGAAGTGCTGGAGCAAGCCAGGGAAGACGCCATAACGAGCAGATTACAACTGGCCCGCTTCCAGAGGCAACATCAGCATTATTTAGAAAGGCACGAGTTGCAGTTGCAAACATTAAACAGGTAATGACCGGTCTAGAGATGTCTGAGAGAAAAGATATAATCGTGAACAAATGAAAATCGTACGCGGAAAAAGGTGCTGCTGTATCGATAGAAGTGGCGCCGTTGGAATGAATCTTCTTGATTCGATAATATTACCGATTGAAACTGATACTTGAGTTATTGGTGCAATTATTGGGTGTACATTCAGTATCAAAACCGCTCACATCGAACACTCAGTGAACCGCTATTCGTGAATAGTTTTAATATATAAGAACTTTCAGGAAAATGTCCATTTATATATCGTCATTCGTGAAAGAAATAACTTGCATATAACAATTTTTTACTCTTTTTCACTCTTTCATATAGAGATACAGCACTAAATATAATACAGACCTAGACAACAAAAACTTCTAAAAGGCTTTTTAAAAAAGAAGTTTAAAAGATATCTATCTAAAAAAAAAAATTAAGACGACTAAATATCATTATTATTCATCGAAAAGTAATATTATTATAATATTATCGAGCGGTGGGACAATTTGTAAACGGCTCGACACTCACTTCCGATCACAGGGAGAACGAACTCTTGCGGCAACAGTTGCGCAAATACGTCACCGCTGTCCAGATGTTGCGGAGGGACTCCGATTCCACCACTATGTCCGAGGAGGACCCGTCGTTGGATTATCACAACGAGGCGCGGCAATACGAAGAGAAGTTGATACAGGTCGCGGACATGCACGCCGAACTGATGGAATTCAACGCTAGGTTGACGTTGCAGCTGACAAGCAGGTACGAGTAGCGCGAAGTTACCGTGTGAACGATCGTTCCTTTCCGCTCACCCCTCTTGCGTCTCGTCTGTCAGGGACAGGTTAGTGAAGATGCTGCAGGCGGAACTGGAATGCTTGCGAGGCCCGTTGAACGAGGACGACTTGCCTTCGGAGCCACCCTGTCTCATTCACATATGGATTCCGTCGGCATTTCTCACGGGACAGCCATCCGATATTCATCACGTGTATCAAGTACGCTTATGCTCTTATCGGATGTGTGCACAAGTTGAAAATCTTTCGTCACATGGAAGTGAAACGAGAAAACTTGCGGAGAAAGATTAGACTTTTGCACACACCTACATGGAAAAAAAACTCAGTTAAACAGAGAGCAGAGGGAAAATTCGGTGTGACGAGAAACGATACCTTCGTTACTGCGACTGAGAATATTCGGCTGCGTTGAAACTCGGTTGACTAAATAGAAGCCTACGGGGATATTTCTGCTCCTACAATCGATTCAGTTACACCAACGGAATCCTTTTCTTTTTTCCGTGTAATACTTAGCGTCTCCTCATTGTGAGGCTTCCACCGGACCACCGGGGCCGATTTTTGTCATGTGTGTTCCCACTTTGTTGAATGCAGATTTACGTACGCATAAGGGATACCGAGTGGAACATTTACCGACGGTACGCTCAATTTTACGCTCTCTACCGAGAGCTGAAGAAACACGATGCTATCGTTACTACTTTCGAATTTCCGCCAAAGAAAACAATAGGAAATAAGGTGAGTTATCCGATCGGGATGACCTTACCGGCGCGTTTTATGCAGCATAATGTTGCAAACGTCTGTAATGATCATTGACGCCTTCAGGACGCGAAGTTCGTCGAGGACAGACGGCAAAAGCTGCAGCAGTGGTTGCGGCGGGTCGTCGGCCGGGTGGCGCAATGTTCCCCCGCGTTCTCGTGCAGGCCGAGCAGGCAGACCCTCGTGTCCCTGATGCCTTTCTTCGGGTAAGTGTACCGCGCGGAGATCAAAGGTGAACGATTCGGTCACACGATCTACGGACACCTGAAAGCAGACATTGACATTGTTAGTATATTCCGCCATGAGAGAATAGGAATCATCTTTTCTTACATATACGTCGCCCGACACGCCAAGATATCACCGTGGTTGATTTTCGTTTTCAGCGATAGCCCCAATGCCGAGGAGTCGAGGAAAAATAATTCCGCAAGAAGTACTTTCTCTTCCTCCCCTCAATACATGGGTTTATAATCATGACAATTTTTTATAGACAATTTGTACATACGTGGAAAGGAAGAAAGACACCTTAATTATTTAATTACCTCTCTCGAAAACGAAGAATCTTGTTACATGCGGCGGTATTGTTGACGATTCAAGAGAAGGGCGCGCGCACGCGCTCCACTGCATGCGTTTATAATGTATATAAAAGTACACCCATACACACGCGTGTGTGCGACACCTGTATGACACCGGCATGTGTATGCGTGTGGACGTTAATATGTAGCGTATAGACAATTATAAAAATTGGTTCTATTTCCTTTTTTATGAAAATAATAGCTCATGGTTTTTAACGTTTCACCATCGCAAGAGACTTTATTATCCCCGGCCTGACATATCCCGTCCGGTTGAATTGAGGAGGAAGTGGCTTGAAAAGGTTGACCAGTGCGAAGCGAGAATCCACATAAGTGAGACTGATAATTTTAACGGAGGACGAAGCGGAATCGATCGAGATTAATACGAGTAACGAGTTTCGATACGCTCAACCGAGGACGTGGTGGAGGTGAATCCTTGCATATCCAGGCGAGAGAGACTCCCGTTTTCTATAAAGTTTATTTATACGTAAGGCGCCTTAATAGTAATATAAAAAGGTACACTTTTTTTTCCATTTATCCCTTATGACAAAAATAAAGGTGCGTTGTCGGAATAAGTACATACGGTATTATATGCCGGTAATAGGTCGGAGTACAAACTAACTTCTCGTGTATACAAAAAAAAGAACCAGGAATTTCTTCAACAACTTACACACAGAATACACTGTTCTCACTATGGAGAGGTAAGATAATACAAAGAGGGAGCTCTCGTGAGATCAAACATCGATTCAGGTGTATCTCTCGGGGAGAGTAAATGGGGG